TGCACCTTTTTTGGTAAACGGAAATCAGGTATCCCAGCTTTAAATTGCAAAACGATTCTTCTGTTAAAGGTCAAGGGAGTGCCAGTCAATTCAGTTTACATTGACAGTTTATTTACCTGGACTTGTCGGAATGCATTCGTTTTATGGTTAGTGTTGTGTTATAATGGATTAGCAGCACAGCACATAAAACTGTAATAATGAAACTATATTGACGGCAGATAAATTGTGAAATACCAGAAGCACGGTCATCACAGTTTTGTGTTGAAGACTCAGGGCTGAACGATGTGGGTTTTTTATGATATCCACTTTAATATTTTTTTTCTTAGTGAAAGACTGATGAAAACATGCCCCCATTAAAGTCTCTATTTGTTGTTAAGTCCAGGTCTGTTGGATTTTCATCTCGGTTTCTTTGACACCATCTGCAGGGTGCCATTGAGAAAAAGACCCTCCCGTCTGCCATCACTGACAGCTTTTAAAACATATCAAGATTAATTGACTTTTTCTCGTTATGTAGCTTTAAAGGGCGTATCTGTAATTCTCTAATTATACATTACATCACCATTTTTTACATGTGTTCCCAGATAATAGGTCACAACATTTACAAATTGTATTCTGTCTTTTCTGAGCAAGTGGAGAAGATTGTGAAGAATATTTATTTTTAGGTTTTCAATTAGATTACCCTTGGATTCCTGCTGCTGTCACACTGTACAATGAACAATGAAGACTGATGGACATGCTGACCCATTCTTCTGTAGTAATAATGTGCCATGCAATACAGTATGGGTCCACTGTCACTTCTAGCCCCTCTGCTGCTACATGTACAGTAGTACAGTGGAGTTTGCATGTTCTCTCCGTGTCTGCGTAGGTTTCCTCCGGGTACTCCGGTTTTCCCTACCACTAAAAACATGCACAATAGGTCTGGCATGCGTCTCCTGTACTGACGACCCCGCTCCCATCTCTGTGTGAAGTGAGAGGACAAGTGCCCAAAAAAATAACAAATTGTAAACTGCTTTGTGACTCTGGTCTGTGAAAGGCGGTATATAAATAAACATTACTTACTTACGTACTTACTTACTTACTTATCACACCCTGATGGTTACAAATTTACAATATCTACAAACATCATTGCCTATACATGTAAGTATATATTTCCTCGCACTAGAATATAAATGGGCTGATGCTATGGGAATTGGGTGTAGCTCTGACTGCCACTCTCCTGACCCAGAAATGGATTAAGGGCAAGAAAATGGATGGATAGAATATAAAAGTGTATGCTTTTTTTTATTAAAGTGATTGTCAGAAAAAAGAGAGGGAGCTACAAAAACGACCCAAGCTCCGCCCCCCCTTCCTTTCTGATTGGTCTACACCTACTGTTCCGTAACAATCAGTCAACACATTTAAATGTTAATCTGAGAACACATTATACATATACATTATTAATACACATGCACAGAGGTTTTCAGAAGTATCTGTTAACGTTTTCATGACAAAATTAATGTTTCAATGCGAAAAATAAAGCGATCGCGGTAAACCCTGAAGTAGCTATTATCATGAATTGCACATTATAGGACACATCTGCAGAGGATCTGATTATGGATATAGGTTCAGTATAAATGGGTAACTCAGCGCGGATGTTCAGAATTCTTTGTTTAGTTTTCATGTAGTTCCAGAGCTTAGTGGAGGCTTGATTCGGAGGCTCCGTGAAAACAAACAACTGAGCATGCGCGCAGCTACAAGCATCAGCGCTGATGATTGACAGCCCTTGGCATCACTTGATTGGTTAAAGTGGACGGCATCGTGGATTTTGAGCTATAGCTAAGAGAAGGGAAGGCGGGACTTACCCGTAATATTAGAAATCATAAAATGACTTATTTAAGTCATTTACATTTAAGGCCAGGTCATTTTAATACAATTTTAAAAATTTGTAATTCATTTAGAGTTACAGACTATCACTTTAAACTAAAACAATCTTATTGTTGCGCTATATCTATTTTTCCCCTACCACTATGGGACGCATAAATATTGGTTAGCTAAGAAATGTGGGTTGCTAATTTCTGGGTTTTTTTTTTAAACCAAAACTTTTTGATTTTGAGTATTAGACAAAAAATGCACACAGTTTGTAGCATTTCTAGTTAAACTCCAGCAGAACACAGCTAAGATCAGAAAGGTGTTTAAGAGGTGTTAATGCACATGTTGATAGGCCTATTTAGAGCTACAGAAAGGGCTGATTTCAAACTGTATTTTCAGATGTTGTCACTTTCAGGTAGGCTTGCTTTTTTGTGGAATGTATTGTAGTCATCTGTTTTTGTGTTTTGTTTTTGTTTTAGTTTGACTCCATTTCAAGATTTGACAAGAGTGAACAAAGGAATCCCAAAATGTGTGAACAAATATATAAATGTGGTGAAAATATTTGAATACTGTCAATTACAATAATTTACTCCTTCAGATTCAGATTTAGACTGCTCATTTTATCCTACCAGGTGCAATTCATTTGAGCAGTATAAAACATAATTAAAGCCGCAAGCGGCGTCAAACGGCCCTCGCCGCACCGCGCGCACCACCCCGCACCGTGCGCACCACAACGCACCGAGCCGGCCAGCACCAAGCCGCTCCACACCAAGCCACCCCGCACCAAGCCGCCCCGCACCAAGCCGCCCCGCACCACGCCGCCCCGCACCAAGCGGATCTGCCTCTCCACAACGCTCCTGTTTGTCAGAGGGCGGAGCCATGATAACATTTTGGTCTTATCTTGACTTGAGGAACATGTGTACCGAATTTCATGGCTCTACGACAAACTTGACCTCTGAAACTCCCATTGGCTGTTGTAGGTGGCGCTGTTCTGGCATTTTTTGAGTCCCATAAAAATAAACACCCAAATATCAAATTTTTCACCAGGTCTGATGTTTGGGCAAAATTTTACAACTTTTCATGCATGTTCAGGGGGTGAAATTAAGGCTCAAAGTGCAGAATTTGACATCTCTCGAGCAAAAACAATAGGCCCTTTCCCCGTTCGGGGATCAGGTCTAAAAAAAATAAAAGCAGAAAAAGAAAACAAAAACACGGAGGAAAAATCAAACAGTAACATCTATTATGAGCAGCTGTTTATGAGCTTGAAATTAATGAACACATGACATTAGAAATGATCATACTCTTAGCACAAGGCACTTCACTTCTGAAGTGGCTTCTGCGTCAATCTCTGTGAGCGGCGATGTATAAACACAGGTTACTTACTTACTCTTCTCATTCCTGATTGATTTAAAGCTTTTCTCATTATCACTCCTGTTGCATTTGTGACTCATGATCTGCACAAGGTTCACACGCAGAGTGACGGCAGGGAGAAAACGCTTGAGCCAAATCTATTTAAACATAATAAAACAACGCAGTCATCAAGGATATGGTTTGAAGAAAGGCAGAGGATGTGTGTCTGTGGATTCTTCATAAAAGTTTCAAATTTCTCTTTTGAGCAGTGAATGTCAGTAGCTAACTTTGGCTGGGTGGGAAAAATAATGTATACATATGTTTTTATATAGTAAGTAAGTAAGTAAGTAATCTTTATTCATATAGCGCATTTTAACAGACCATGGTCACACAAAGCGCTTTACAATTGTTTAGAGTTCAGATCCATTCTCTCCACGCGGTGATGACGAAAGTGAGATGCTGATCACACTGGAGCATCAAGACCCCCAATCTACACCATGCATTCTTTCCCTCACTCATTACGTTCATACCTATTCAACATGATTTTAGTGGTAGGGGAAACCGGAGCACCTGGAGGAAACAGGAGCACCCGGAGGGAACATACGCAGAGTGAAAAGGATTATCATCTGGTCTATTTGACCATGCAGTCACAGTGATCAAAAATTACCCTAAATAATTTTTTTTCAAGCTGAATATTCATGATTTTTCCTAATTTGATCAGACCCTTATAGACCTTAATTTAGAATATTTTACTTATACTTTTGATCATCTATGGCAGGTAGCACAAGGGTTGAAGACTCAAAACATTGGAATTCAACCCTTTATTGCTCACTGACAATTTTAATCCAGGTGTTGATTATCGAGATCTACAAAATTTTAGATTGCAACTGCTCTATCTTTAATTTTTTTCTCTCATTCCAAGAGAAACAGTGACTGCAGTTATTGGGGTGAAAGACGTCCAGACCACACCATGGTCTTAGCGCTCTGTCTCTGTAGCTCGGAAAATGCCATCCAGCCACTTCCCACACACACTGGGAAGTAATCCGTGAGATTGTATCAAGAATCTAAATTTGGCAGGCTACAGTGTCCCATACAGCAGATTTATCCAAAATGTGTCCATAGTAAAAATCATTTTGTTCAATTATTTATTTTGAAAAGTAGCATATAAATAGAAAAAAGCAATGTTGACAGCAATTTCTCAGATGTATATTAGGCCTATATAGATGTGTGCATGAGCCATTTATTCATGATTGGACAATTGCGTACAAAGTAGAATTTATAAATTCATTTACATTCAGTATACCCCCCAGCCAGGTGTAGGCCAGGTGCCACATTGACAATCTTTAAGGTCTTCCTGAAAATGTGAGACAGGCTGCTCTAACAATGTCCAAATCCAGGTTTTAAACAGTTCTGTTTGCATACAACTGAAGGCTCATATATTCATTCTTTCAAATATACTGTGATTATTTTGCCTTGTATAATCCTGTTTTGTTAAGCACATTGCGTTGCCTTGTACAGTATATGAACTGTGCTTTAAAAAATAAACTTTCCTTGCCTTAAAGTTGATTTTATGTCTATTTTGAATCATATATCACCTTTAGATTCAAATTCAGATTCATTTTATTTGTCATATTCAGAAAAAAAAAACATGGAATACATGTGCAAAAGTCCCCCAGTGCGTACCAGACAAATATATAAAATAAAACAAGTTTAAAAAGTACAATTGAGGTAGACTGAGGCATTTAATCAAACAGAAGCAGCTGTTTTACGCACTCCCCGAGAGAGCAGTCCTGATACGGTCCTTACCTGTCCGCACTGAGCGTGGTGAGGGTGAACACCGATACCCCGACGGAGGTCAACTGGATGGCGGGAATGAGTTTACAAGCTGCCTCGCCAAACACCCACTCCTCAGAGAAGTACCGAAATGCGTCCACGGGCACACATGTGAGCAGCAGTAGCAGGTCCCCTGCGGCCAGGCTGGAGATGAAGATGTTGGGCACGCTCCTCATGGCGCTGTTGGTGATGAAGATGTTGACGAGCGTGATGTTACCCACCAGCCCCACGGTTATGATGAGGATGTACACGGAGGTCATGACGCAGCGCACCACGAAATGGACCGTCTCCGCGCTTTCGGGGTCCATCCACCAGCCCGCAGCATCACTCGTGGCGTTGGGGTTAAGGGCGCCCTCCAGAACTACCGGGTGGTCCGCGTTCAGCAAAAACTCATCATCCATGGTAGAGAGTGGAAAAGTGAAACGCGAAAAGAGCGAGAGGAGTTTAATCCAAGTCCGTGCGTAAAGTTGGAAGTGGGGAATGGAGAGGCGCGCGCGCAGCAGGGCCGGGGATGGAGGAGACTGGAACGCATGGAAAAGGAGCTTTTTACTCTCTCTCTCTCTCTCTTTCTCTCTATCTCTCTCTCTCTCTTTCTCTCTCCAAGTGCTCTGAGAGGAAGCTATTTGTGACGTCGAGCGTATTATTCAAGATCTATGAAAAGAATTCACGTCAATACATGATAAAAGCGTCATCCATTCATTTCAGATTTGATTATATTATTGGCAAATGAGAACGCCTAAACAACTCAAAATGCCTGGAATTGACGGGAAAGATGTGTTAATGTGATGTCAACAAGTGTGATTCCAGCCTCTCAAAACTGACCGGACATACTGCATTGATTGTTTTGATTAAATGATAGTTCCGTCAAGAACAGTTTTCATAGACAACCAACCATGTTTTTACTGTATGCCAATGGATATAGAAATAAAATTCAACATTCCAACTATACGCCAAAGGTTGAGCTATTTTTAATAATATTTTTTAGATTTACATTTCTCTGCATATACAAGTTTAAATATGCAAAACACAAAGTACCAAAGGGTCTATAAACCTTGGATATTCTGTCTCAACGTATACTGTTTCTTCCCCGTAATAAATCAACAGGTCTACAGGGACCCCGCCTGCGAAAGAAATTAAAGGATCCACCTGCTGCCTGCCCACTCACAATACGGATATGATTTCAAAGCCGTATAGACACTTATTTAGGTATTTAATTAATATAACATGTCTATGGATAGTGGCAGATATCCTCCAGATAATTACTCAAAACAATTGATTTAGAAAAGAAAATACCATAAATCAGCATCAACAGACTGTCTTACAGAGTGTGATTAAGTGGCAAGAGAAGTTAACAGCAACAGATGGGGTAGTGCAAACATGCAAGATAGAGATTAGTTAGATGGAGACAGGTGCCTCTGGGAACAATGACAACAAACACAACAATGCGTAATAGATTAAAGATCCAGTTTGCGAGAATAAATAAAGTCACACATTACTCATCCCAAAAGTCGCAATATACAAAACGTTTATTTTCTTGAGGTTTCCATCCAGTATTGCTTCACCTTTACACCAACATCTTGTTTTGTTGATGGGGAAGTGGGACCATGCACACCACCAATAAGAAAAAATGTGTTTAGATTAGTTGGTAATGTACTGTATGTTGTGTTTTGTATATTTTGGTCATCACACAGATCTGGAAATCAATACAGTATTTTGACATTGCAGAAGTAAAAAAAAAATGCAAAGCAAGGGGTGAAAATGCAAAGCAAGGCAGAAGATTGTGTGTAATCCAACATGGCGGTGTTTTGTTTAGGGAGATGAATAGATAAATAGTATGGGCATGTGTAGTAATGGCTTTCATACTAACTGTCGAGTATTCTCACTTTCAAAAGAAGGTGTAAAGAGTCATAATTATTGCCATTATATAGGTCAGACATACCGCTTTTCCTCCAGACTGCTGAAGAATCCTTTTCATGCACATATTTTATCCTCAATGCAATGCACGTTTGTCTCTTTGAGCAAATTATCATACTTCCTAATTAGGATTTTATCATTTATATGAAAGGAACAAATGCAAAGACTCATTTCATGGATTTACTGAGCAGTCTTGAGTGGAGAGAGACATTGCATGAGCTCCTGTTTGTGTCCTGTGTGATTGGGGTTAAAAGGCAGCAGGTAGCACAAGGAAGTCATTTTATTTTTTCAATTGCCAAGACAAGTCAATGGGAAAGACCCAAAGAGTAAAATGTACTCCAGTCTTATCTTTCGCCTGCACCTGCATCATTTCCGTTTGTTGGAAAATCTTTGAATGTTCAGCCATGGTCCTTAATGCAATCACTGCTATACTAATCCAACATGATAATTAAGTTATTAAATGGCTGGCAGCAAAAGAAATCGGAATGAAATGATAAATTGTAGTTGCAAAAAAAAAGAGGAGAATACAGCTAGAGAAGTGCCGTGATGGGAGCCTGCTTGGAATTATGGGTGAAATCCTTTGTTCTACCTATAATTCTTTTGTAAAAATACCAGATTGAAAAATAACATGGATTTTTTTTGTTTTTTATTTATTTTACATATGCAAAACATTAGCTTTACACAAAATTTCCCCAACAAAGATACACAATACGGCGATATAAAAGTAACGCGTATAAAATACTTCTACACAGAGTTTGACAAAAAAATAATTAAGGAATTTAAGAAAACCATGGAAAAGATTGGCCCTCGGCTCGCTTTTACAAACTCCTTTTTCTTTGTCAGTTTATCCCAGGGCAGCTGCGGCTAAAGTCATTTTCTCCCATGTAAAACAGTGTATGTACGGAGTGAATTAATAATGCAGCATGAAGCTTTCCAGAGTGTCCAAAATTATGGTAAAACTATTTTTTATTAACCCCTCAGGCAAAAGTGCTGAATAAATATCTGTATGCTTAATATATAAAGCATTCTGGGAGGCACAGTGAAAATGATGTCTGGTGTAAAATTTAAATGAGTTTGGGATCTCTGGTCTGTCCGACAGGAGACAGCAGCATGCATAAGAATCTCCAAGGGTAGTCTGCATTATGACCAGAAGATCGATGTTGCTTCCGTACAAAAATCTGAAAAGTGGGGCTTGCAAAAGTATTCCGATCTCAACCCTAACCTTAAGTCTATTCAGGATATGTACTGTATGTAAATGTTGCGTGTCTATACTGTATGATTCATTCATTTTATAAATTCATGATTGATTTACAGTCTATGATAGAGACTGATTTTTTTCCCCTTTGCAAAGATTATGTCAGATTATAATGGAGCGTTTGTCTGAAGCAGATTTTAGAGATCGCCTCTGATTCAGGTCCGAACTTTGACAGAGCCTTAACTCATTGTTTTAAACCAGGCTGCGCGACATTTTTAGTGGCCCCTGAAATGATTTTTGATTATACAGTAGGGCTGGGCGATATGGCAAAAAAGTAAAATCAAGATTTTATTTCCTGCTTTGGACGATTTCGATTTGTATTATACAAGTCTTGCATAGACTGTGCTGATATTGTAAGTATAATTCCTGTGCTGATAGAACTCTCACAATATCCTTCATTCGATGTAACAATTTTAAAAATTTTCACTAATTCAATTTTTTCAAAAGCCGATTAATTGCCTAAATTTGATTTATTGCCCAGCCCTATCATACAGTAAGTATCACAGTAACTTGCCGCATGGATGGTAATAGGATATGTTATACTTGATTTTAAAGCTTATTGTCTCAAGAAAAAAGCCATATCATTCAATCTGTTCTAGATTGAAACCAATTAGAAGTTAAGTATGGCCAAAGATATCTTCAAATATATCTCTTCTTGATATTTTGAATCCAAACCAACTAGAAAGATTACAATATTCAAATAGAATTAATTTGTCGAAATACAAAAATATGTAAAAAATAAACCACTTCTATATTTTTGGCCACAGCAGCTTGTTTTTAAATTAAGCCCCTGACAAAAATGAGTTCGACCCTCATCCTGAACCTCAAGTCTTCTGCAGTCACCAACAGATGTTTTTCAAAGATTGCCCTGTATTTTGCTGCATCTAGCTTTCTCATCAGCTCTGCCACTCTTCCCCACAGCAGGACGCTGCCACCACCAGGTATGATAGTGGACTTGGTCTGATTAAGCTGCTTTCTCTTGGACTGGTCACGACAGACCTGGTGAGGGGTGCGTTCTTTTTCTCGCTTATTTTTCTCAACAGTAGTTGCACTGCAGACTTTGTGATATGGCAGTATTTTTGAAAGATTGCCAGACAAGAAACGGCTACAATCATATCGTTAGTGGCTAAGGCTAGTATGGTTGATAGATAACTATGGTCTACGCAGGTGGACAAACCCAAGACAAAATATCTGCGTAGGCCATAGTTACTGTATCTATCCACCATACTATTACGAGCTGGTTTTGAGTTTAATTTGTTTTGCCTTTTCCTTTTGAAGGTGCAACCAGACTTAAGCTATTTTTGGCTCACTCCAGTCACACACAGGATCAAACCAATGAGCTGATCAGTTATATTATGTTATGTTCTGTGCATGCCCTAACAATGTAGGCCGTGGTCAAGCTGCAGCACTCTGGCTGTGTGTCCTCTGATTGTTCCCCTCTCATTTGTTTGGAAAGCAGCGGCCAGAAGAGCAGCACTCTGAACCAAAGGTGACTTCATGGGAGTTGTGCGTCCTCCGCGTCCCAAATCAAGCTGGATTTTAAGAATTGTGTGCTGAAAAAAGGACGGAACTATGAACAACACGCCGCCAGGATTACGGTTGGTGTGTATAATTTGATTTTATTCATTGGATAATTGAATGTTTTTATTATTATCAATATTATTGTTAAATCAGTTTAGATATGGAAAAACTAAATGTAAAAACAAGACTGAATTTCATAAGGAAATGTAGAAGTCTGAGTGTATATTTGGTGACCAAGAATAAGAAGCGTTGTGAAGACGAGATTATAAAGGTAGATCTGTGGGTTCATGCAACATCATAACCAGAAATAGTGAGAAATGTACTTAAGGGAAAAAAGATAAAGAAAAAAATGACATGTAACCACTTTCAGGGCAGTATTTTGGTTTGGTTTACAGAGGTACTGGCATTGTGTTGGTTGTGGAGCAGAGAAGGTGCTTTTTTGCTGACAGAGGGGATTATAATGCACACACCACATGCCCAGCTGGCCTTTGTGGGTCTCTGTTGTGTCTTTTTTTCAATTGATGGACAAATAAAGGGAAAGAGAAATATGCATTGTCACAAGCATTCAGAGGGCAAGCGCCAGCCATGTTAGAACTGACATGATGCCAAACAGAAATGAAGCTCGGGGCCCAGCAGCTACCGCAATGTCTCTCAACTACATCAAAAACTTCTACGAAGGATGTGTGAGTACAACCACCATCTGAGAAATTATATTATACTTTTAGGCAGTAGATTGTTGAAAGAACCGGAGCTATTCATTATTTTTGAGGAGGCAATGAGAAATGTTGTGTGCGTGTTGAGGTGTGGTGATGATTGTCCATCAATAATGAAACAGCATAAATTAACTTGCAATGTCCTTCACATGATAAAGGATTTTTAAGTTAAATCAGAAAGCCTTGAACCATTTATTCTTTGTTATCTAGCATAAATGAACTGGGTACAATAACTATGAGCTTGTATAATATTCCTATACAAATCTGTTTTTCCGTGCAGGGACACAACATTATATGTGTTTTGTGTCTTGGCTGGAGTTGGAGATATCTACTTGGTATTTCATATTATGTTTCCGATTAGTGGGTGGTTTAATTCCTGATCAGCCGCTTTGATCAGTGAACTATAAATTCAATGACTAACACGTGTCTGTGTGCAGCTGAGGCCTCCGACGGTGATCGGACAGTTCCACACACTGTTCTTTGGATCAGTGCGCATGTTCTTTCTCGGAGTTCTGGGATTTGCAGTGTATGGGAATGAGGCTTTGCACTTTAGCTGTGACCCCGATCGACGAGAACTTAATCTGTTCTGCTACAACCAGTTTCGACCTATAACGCCACAGGTAAACACTGTTTATTGTTGGAAGATTACAATAGGAAACTCATTGGCAGCGTACAGCAATCCTTTATGTCCTGAAAGAATGTATGACAAAGGCCTCTCTCGGTATAGGTTTTCTGGGCCCTACAGATGGTGTCAGTGCTGGTTCCTGGAGCAGTCTTCCACCTGTATGCAGCCTGTAAGAACATTAACCAGGAGGAGATCCTAGAGAGACCACTCTACACCGTCTTCTACATCATCTCTGTGCTGCTGCGCATTATTCTGGAAGTGATTGCCTTTTGGCTTCAAAGTCATCTATTTGGATTCCAGGTGAGAATGTCCATACCGTACTCCTGTCAGTGAAAGCTAAAGCAAAAGCATTTTTGTATTTGTATCTTGTGTTTCTACAAATGTTACCATACCTTTTCATGGTATACTAAATTCCCCCATGTTTTCTGATCAAACCTTGAGATAAAAACCGTTAGAGAAATATTATTCCTGCTAAAGCTTATGGCACATCCCAACACACACTCAACCTTTCCTATGGCCTCTTCATAAATTATGCATAGCCCCGGTTCATTCAACAATATACTGCCTTAAAGTATAACATCATTTCTCAGATGGTGCCTGTGTCATTTCACCCCCTGCAAACACACAGAAACTCAGATATCTCTCGAACAGTCTGTGAAGAGGCAGCAGTTTATAACCCCATCTTCCTCCTTTTCTCTTACAGGTGCTGCCACTGTTCATGTGTGACGCCAGTGCGCTGGAGAGGAAATTTAACGTGACCAAATGTATGGTTCCTGAACACTTTGAAAAGACCATCTTTCTCAGTGCCATGTACACATTCACCATCATCACCATTACCCTGTGTGTGGCTGAAATATTTGAGATTCTGTGTCGACGCCTCGGTTATCTGAACAACCATTAACGCGTCTATACTGCGAGGAACTTACAGAGTCAATGTGACGCTGATGCTGCCATTTTGAACGGTCTGTGTGTGGGACTCCAGGTCTATTGTGACAGAGGTGAGTTCAGACAGTGACTGCTGAATGTTCCAGCTGATGCAGGATCTGTGCTGATACAATGGGAAGTAGAGACCGCCAGAGAGGGTCTGTCACCTCGGCTCTACTCTACACAACTCTTCTCTATTCAACTTGACTCTGTTTGTGTTTCCATTACTTTGTAATATCTGGTACCATATCCTAACCATATCTATCCAGAACAAACAATTATTGTGGGAAATACCTTGGTGACCATGGCTTCCAGCAGAACTACGGCCAGTCTCTGCCAGTAAGAACGCTTTAGTACCAGTTCAGCCCTGGATAAAACCAGGCCCAAGCAGGTACCACAAAAGTACCTGGTATTGGTTAAACACTCCCAATCAGGTAGAGTGCAGCCGAGTAGAGTACAAAACTGGGCAGGAAGGATGGGCAAGTAGATAGGCGCAGTAATATTAATCGGGCTCAGACCACCTATAACCGAGAGAGAGGCTGTGACATCAGCCAAACTCAATCTTATTTAGTCTGCCTAAATTGTACATTTGCTTTATTTGCTGATCAGGTCCACGGAAAACAAATATTTTCCGATTTATTTTGAAAGTAAGACATAGTGAAAAACGTTGTGAGTATGACAATCAAGACCAAAAAAGATGATAGATAAATTAACAAAAAAAAACCTGGTGTTTATAGTTTGTATAGGATTGTCTTACTGTAATACTGTAATGTGAATGATTACCTCTGATGTATTATCTAAAATCAGACATCCATCCATCTTAAGTTAGTCTGTTGATCTCAGGTAAAGTGCAGGACTGGACTTTGTGGACTCCTCCGATTGGCTTTTCAGACCTGGATAAGATCATCAAATTCGGGTGCTAGAACTTAGACTAGTTTGTAGATATTTAACAGACTTGACACATGGCAGATGCCATAAAAAGTGCAATGTGTGTTCAAATTGTACACATAATTTGTTTTGACGATTGCTCCTCAGTAGCACTACTTAGGTAAGACTAATATGTGTCATTATATTGACTTCATCACCGAGTTGTCTGCATTAGTATTCTTATATACTAATGTTCCCGATGCACTCAGCTTTACCAGACTGCATAAATTCTTGTCCAGTCCTGAAAATCAAATCAAATGGAGTTCAGGCTTTTAACTGTGTTAGACATTAATTATTATGTGAGATATGGTTGCATTATGTAGCAATCCAACCATTTTGTAAATACATTTATAATGTGGTCATACTGACATGGATTTCTGTATATGTATTTGTAGCCCAAACATACTTTATACAATTCTGTGTTCTATAAGAATAAAGTAGTCTTATTCCCCAGCAGCAGACACACGAGCTGTTGTTTGTCAGTGTACAAGACACTTTTTCAAGCAATATTTTATTTAAGTTTGTCTTACTGAACTGTATTGTCCAAAATAATAAAATATGAACAATTCCTGAACTTTCTTTATTGTCAAATTATTTTCAAATAAAACATATACAAATGGGAACCACACTGTTTATTATGTGGATTATATTGACACATATATTTTACCAAGAATTTAGTGCACAAACAGGGGGTAATGAATGAATTGAGATATTAAATTAATACTGAGTTTGAGAACACATGATTTGGTAAAACAATCTACAAAATGTCAACATGAAAGCTCAGACACCAAAACAATGGAACGCCTTCTTGTTTTGAATTCTAAAACATACTTGAATAATAAGCACCTGCGACCTTGTTGTGAGGCATGAGTTTCCCCCCGCTCAGACACAGTGCCACCATTCTACCCACCTGACTAGGGCTCACCCATTTGTCACTGTTGCACATTGACAATGGAAACTAGGGTTCACATCAAAGATCTGTTTTAATATTAATGTCTTGACATAGCTCATGAATCACCTAACTGTAAAAGTCATTATTTCCCATTCAAATCCAAAAAATGATCACAACTAAAAAGCTAGGTCATTTGTAATAAAGTTGTGGCAAATGTTTCACTTATATTTTACAATTACAACCAATTCAATCAAAACTAGGCTATAGGTTATCACACAAACATGAATTAGTCATGGTTAATAGTAACCTATGTCTCTCAGCTGGCCTGGGAACGCCTTGGAGTCCCCTGGGATGAGCTGGAGGAAGCGTGTGTAGATAGGACGGTCTGAGAGTCTCTGCTTAGACTGCTGACCCACGACCTGGCAACAGATGAAGCGGAAGAAAATTGATGGATGGATGGATAACAGTAACCGCTGAATTGTGAAATGCCACCATGGGTTTGGGAAGGCAATCAGTTACGGATTTTATGTATTTATTTTTGTCTTTACCAAATAATAACCATGTTACAGTATATTAGAGATGTAAAACTAAGATTGTCATATTAAAACCACGCATCCAAGGAGTGCCACCACGTGATTACATGTTTACGTCACCGTCCCATGAACGCCTCAACTCCTATTGGTCGGATACGCGGAAGTAGAAGGAGCGTTTCATGCTAACAACAACAAGCCGCGTGTTCGGTCTTTTTCACGAATTCTTGTTCTTCTGTGGACGTTTTAAACACCATGGCTTTACCCGCTCCACTGAGAGCTGTGCAGCACCACCTCCGGACCGCACAGGAGCATGAGCAGCGGGATCCAGTCGTGGCTTATTACTGTGAGTCTGGGTCCAACACTGGTTAACGCTAGCATCATACAGAAATGCATTGAGACTCACTTTGTTTGCTGTCATTGTGTACTGTCCCGTCCGATTGCTTACTTCTCAATATAATTATTCTGACGTATTAATGTGTATAGTAAATAAACATGTATGATGGTATAGAGACGTTCAGGTACCTTAGCTGCCTGCCTTTATTGCTACTGCCCTCGATCGTCTTGAATCTATAAAACTAAACTTGTTAGTTCACTTTGATGCATCGTTCACAGACCATTAGCTATATAAATAATGCAGTTACACTTTCTTTAATTAAATATCTACAGAACTCTCTCTCAAAGCTGGTGAATTAGCCATAGATCAATTATTCGTGTCGTTATTTACTTTATACCCTGGTGAGATTTTCCCTAATATACTGTAGGAGTAATCAATGAGTCAATTCATTTACTTTTTAAGCAAATCTCTGTTTAACTCTGCCTGAAAAAAGTTTTATCTATGCCCCTTTTATTTACCTAAAGAGTGTCAAATCTATTCTACAAAGAAGTTATGAAAATGACATTATAACTATACAGGTATGTGTCACCATTTATGATATCCATAATTCTATAAGTATTCATGTATATACACCAACTTACCAGATTTGACATATACGATATATAGAATTTCTGGTCTGTCTTGAATGCCATGGATGAGTCATGTAAGAGGTGAAGTGTGGCATGTGTGGCTCAGCTGTGAAGAATGGACACCACCCTAATCGGGTATGGTGAAAAGCCAAGGTTCAGCTCATGACGAACAAAGAATGAAATGAGGTATTCTTCTTTTAAAGAGTGTAAAGAAGCTAGTACTGCCTCTGACAAAAGCGGAAGTCTACCTCTGAAACATGGCTGGCAATTATGCAGTACGAGCTGCTTTACACTCTTATTTAGAAAAAACGTTATTAATTATGAGTTGTGACCATAGACTGTATATAATAATGACCCATGTTTCTGGAATTTTTTCTTAGCATTGTTGCAATCTCACTATTATAATTCATATATAGCCAAATGACAATGGTTCGTCACCCAGGAACAGCCAAACAGTGTATCAAGTAGTCCAGTTTTATCTACGGCTAGACTCAGATTCAGACTCAGAATAAGTTTGGTGAGTTGGTGTCTTAAGGAAATGGCTGTTGTTGGGGGGTGCGGGCTATGTATGAATAATATTGTAGTTTAAAAAGCAGCAGATATGACTATAATAAGGAGTAAAAGGGTAGGTCCAAGGCAGTTGTATTTGTGTTGTATTCAATAGATGAGTGCGGCTGTTTTCAGACATGCTACTTTGTTGAGGTGAGATAAAGCCTATTTTCCGTGCATCCATCTCATTCACAGGATAGTCATGTCCACTCAAGCACTAGTGATGGGAATCTTCTGATTTATTTAAAATAAATCACATTAATAATGATTTGTTTTGATGTACATAGTGATCACAATGTATCTTTAGTCATATGATCTGTTTTATCAAAGTTTTTGAGTCACGAACATATGAAAATCAAATTATTTAATAATTATTTGTGTTTTTTATGGGGTAATATTTAGACTAAAGTACTTAGTAACCTCTGCAAAGTGATCCTCCAAGTGAACCTCTCCTCCTGGCACTGCTTCTGAGCAGGACCACTTGTAGTACCCTGCTGTGAGGGGTCAAGATGGCCCAGTTAAGATAGTGGAAACACTTGCAGCCTGTGCTGCAGCGCCCTAATGTTGGACCAAAAGCCCCTCTCCATTTGCCTTGACAATGTAATACGTAAGTTTACCACTGGGATAAAAAAGTAGAAAATTAAGTTTTTTTTTTACATAATTTGTCCTCACTCTTCCTTGTCACTTTTCTCTCTCTGTGTATAGTATCTGTTTGTCTTAGCTGAGTTTAGCTCACCATATCTGTCATCCCAATATGTGTACTCTCTTAAGCTATGTTTATCATCACAGTTTGTCTCCAGCTTATCCCTGATCCCTGATTGGCTGCAGAAGACTTCGACTCTGCTGCTTGGCAGACTGGGGGTTGGATTATAATTTATTTTAGAGTCAGGATATGTTTGTTTGGGAAGGAGAGAAGAGACAGATGATGAAATAGGCCTTATTGTCCATGTGCCAAAAAATGAAAAGCTTACTTTGCTCAATCATAATATGTCTCTATGTTTTGAACTCTGAACAATGCAAAGCGCTTTGGGTGACCCTAAACTCCTAACGTGGAGCAGGAGCTGATTCCACATACAGGAGCTATAGAATGCTGTGCCTATCCAATATGCTGCTTCTTGGAGGTTAGACAAAACCAGTGAAGTGGCTTTAACACAGGAGCTTTTGTCCCCTTCCTTTAGTTCCTGTTAAAATTCTTGCTGTTGAACTTTGGATGAGCTGAAAGATTTTTATGAAGGATCAAGGGCATTCTGTAAAATGGGCGTTACAGCAGTAAAGCCGGGAGGTGACAAATGCATAACAGTTTTTCTGCATCGCTTAAGGCAGGATATATATATATGTTGCATCCATCCACTGTCTTCCGTTTTATCCATTGCTGCATCACGGGGATGCCCAGACTTCCCAATCCACACCCACTTCCTCCAGCTCATCCGGGTGAATCTCGAGGCGTTCCCAGGCCAGCTAAGACACATAGTCCCTCCAACGTGTCCTGGGTGTTCCCCTGGCCTCTAGATTTGTTTTGCAGTTTAATACAGTTTTCAAAGTGGCCTTTTTTTTATTACTACACTAAGGGTGCTGGGGATAGTTTACATGCTCACCTGAATGTTGTTAAAGTCCTATCATTGCTTGTGTATATGAATTTTCCTATTTTGGATGATGGCGTCATGATTGGTGGTTGTTCTATTCCCTGTTTTTGCGATGGTATACTATTGTCTTTTATATTCATTGGTAAATTGTTCTGCAATTCACATGACACAATGGTTGCGTGTGTGTGTGCATGTGTGTGTGTGTGTGTGTGTGTGTGTGTGTGTGTGCAGTGGTTCATTGACTGAGGCAGAGTAGACCACTGGAGGTCAGCACCAACATGTGTGTGCAGTCCAAAGCACAGACCCTCTCCCCAGCCGGGACACTGCTGTTCTGAATGAGAGTGGGTTTGGGAACAGAGGATTAACATTGGTGCATCTCTTTGCTGTTTTTACAACTATAATTGTATTTGGATAATATTGATCGATGAAGCCTCCTGTGGACTCACCACCTGCAGAGGGTCAGTGAGGGGCTGGTGCTATGAGACTTGGGTGGCATCTCTGACTGTCACCCCCCTGACCCAGAAATGGATTAAAGGGTAGAAGATGGATGGATGGATGGATGATCGATGAAGAAAATAAATTATAGTTAAGGTTAGTTTTTCTATATTTTAGCTTTTATACAATGCAACAACAAAAGGTAGGTCAAAGCATTGTGATGAAATCTTTTGGTAATTTTTATCTTAAATAATTGCAAACTTTGATTTGCTAATTGTGATTCTGATTAATTGTGCAGCCCTACAATGCGTGCAGAGATGATGTACTGTATGTGTTGAGGGTATACCAATGGACTGATGATATGTTTACAATATACTTTCAGATCAATAGTTTCCTGCCAGATTATTGGTTTGTAACTCAAAAAGAATCACATCCAAACAATAAACCTTGTAACATGAGAAGCTTCTGTCTGCATGATAGATTGACTGGCCACATAAACAAAGATTTCACAGTGAAAGGAAGTAAGACAGTCCCACTAAATGTTTTGTCGGGCACCAGCAGCGAACTCCTACATCAGCGTAGTTATTTGAGTACTATATTTCTAGTATATATATATATATAATTGGTTTAATTGTAATTCAAATAAAGCGCTGCTATGTTTTAGTGACCAAAGCTAAATGGTAAAAGCAATCCATTTATTTTCTTATTATTTGGTGCAGGTAAAAGTGCTTGAAGGTCTTCAAGCAAAAAAAAACAAAAAAAAAGTCGGAGGAAGCACTTCCGAAATGATCCAATCAGATTAAAATGGCGCCTGAACTGGAGCCAAATTAAGTCATCCAAAGGTTTTCAAAGTGAGTGATGAGGCCTCATTACAAGCAACAAATCACAGTGCCATCTCAATATGTGATCCATTGACACCTTCTGGGCGGACGTGACTTGCTCTGAGACTTTGATATGAACTTTTGTTTGAGAAATCTGCCTATTCTGCATTGTAAATGATGCATTTGACAACATTACTTAAGTCTATTTAAGTCTGTGCTCTCAATTGACTGTGGTAAAGTGCCGTCTTTATTCTTATTTCTATACAATTTACTACTAGATTCAGTCTTGTATGAAAGCTTTTTGAAATCCCAATTTACATTGAATTAATTTCATCGGAACATACTGTACCTGTGATATTATTTGCTTTTGAATATGTTTTAGAGCATGTTTAAGTGCAGACTGTTTTAAAAATAATCTAGAGCATGAGGAAAGCCTTATGGCTGGTGAACTTTGCTGTTCATAGCTGTGACGCTACATCCTCTCCTCTGTCAAAGGCCACTGTTCAGACACTGCTGCCAAAGTGACTTTAGTGGGTAATTGACACAATAGACGTCTGTGTCTCAGATGAACTGAACAAATAAACTACGGCTCAATCGTAGCAGCATATGAAATTCCAGTTATTACCAAGATGCCAGAAAAGGCCTAAAACAGTGTAAAATTCAATGTACTTGTCATTTTTTTTTAAATCTTTTGTTGAGGATGAAATTGTTCCTCTCATGCTCTTAATTATACATGGGTTTCAGAATGTTGAGATTACATAAAAGCTTTTTTTTTAAATGAACCCTTTTTGAACTGTTTATGCAGAACCCTTATCAAGTTGGATCCTCTAGGTGCTTGCTGACATGCTGGTGATGTTTTTCAGGTCGGCTGTACGCCATGCAGACAGGGATGAAGCTGGACAGTAAGACTCCGGAGTGCAGACAGTTCCTGATCAAGCTCATGGACCAGCTGGAGACGGTGAGTCACAGCTCTCACTCACTCTGCCTCCATGTTTGAGAGGCCTCTGCTCATGAGTGCTCTGTAGGAAAATCTCAGGAGGAAGATGTATTCAAATATCTACTTTGATTTTGCCATAGGGACAATCAGGATTGACACAAGGTTTCCATAATCAATTGCCTTTTTATGATTCAAAATTTTAATAAAAACCATTTGCAATATAAGGAAAAACTACATTTTAATGTTCAGCTCACTCACAAAGCAAACACGCATCACTGAAAGATCTTGGTTTTCTTTAGACTGGAAGAGATTCTGAATCGGACCAAAGAAGATGAGCACAAGTCATATAAAAACTGTAGCTCAATGAGCAAGAGAGATTTCATCAAATCACAATAAATATGCTTTGCAGGTACACGGACAGAAATAATTCTGTTGGACAGTTAGAACTTTTTAAGTTACCTCAATGTTGAAGCACATTCAATGTCATTAGGCAGATCATTCCATTTACAAGGAGTATGTTGGGAGAAAGCTGGGACAGTGAGACTTGTGCCTGTTTAAGATTACCTGTATTGTTTTGGCCAATGATTTAACGATAGAAGTGTTAGTGCACTTGGAATCCCCCCTTTAGCCCATGTGCAGATTTAAGAATTCTTTCCTCCTCGACACACGTGAAACATTAGTCTGTTATTCCAGTGGCCTTAAGAGACATGACATTTACCTGAAGACATTTCCTACCTCACGCTCCATCTACGTTTTAAGCAAAACCACAAAGAGATTTCCACTGAATGCATGTTTTCCGGGGCATCAGTGGTTGAGCATTGGCCTTTGGGCCTGAAGGTGGATTTGAGCTAGAGGTGCAACGGTTCATCACTGAACGTCTTCAGTTCGGTACAGACGTGATCCGCGGTTTGATTTGCCGCTGCATTTAAGCAGCCCCTTAATGCACAGTCAGACCAGACTAAAGTCAACTCTCCCGCGCATCAACAGTTGCGCTCACGACTGACGCTTGGACGTCCCGCCGAACCTACTGTATAATAGATCCATGAGCGGAACGGAAAGCTATGTTACGATAACCGCTCACTTCATCACAGAAGACTGGGAGATGAAAAGTCTGGTGCTGCAGACACGCCCCCTCTACGAAAGTCACACAGGCACACAGCACAGGCACTGACACAGCAGTGGAAGATTGGAAGACAAAGGTCCAGTACTAATATCCCAGTCACAATTGATAATGCCAAAAATTAAATAAATGCAGTGAATGAGGCTGGACTGGGCCCAGAATGGACCGCCTCCTTGGGAGAATCAGGAAGGTGGTTTAATATATGAGGGTAAATACCCTCATAAAGTGCCTTCTTATGTTGCACTTTGTGTTGTTTTTCATTAATTATGTTAAAAAGACATAATTGGATGGATGGATGGAATATGCCTTCCATCCATTTCTTTCCCCTTAATCCATTTCTAGGTCAGGGGGGTGGCAGTCAGAGCTGCACCCAGTACACAGAGTACCAGCCCCTCACTGATCCTCCTGCAGGTGTCGAGTCCACATGAGCCGTGTTTATTAAAAAGACAAAACGTTTTTTTGTTGAAAAATGAACCAATAAATGAACCAAACCGAGGTACGATCCGAACCGTGATTTTTTTCAAACCGTTGCACCCCTAGTTTGAGCCCATCACGAGACCCTCTCCACGACTCCCACTGAGGTGTACTGTCGTTGTGTCTTTGGGCAAGACACTTAACCCCACTTTGCCTGAAGCCTCCTGTGGACTCACCACCTGCAGGAGGATCAGTGAGGGGCTGGTGCAGCGTGTACTGGGTGCAGCTCTGACTGCCAGCCTCCTGATCCAGAAATGGAATAAGGTGAAGAAAATGAATGCATGGCATGTTTTCAAAATGGTTAGTTAAGACTTTTGGTCAGTAAACTGTGTAGATATGAGTTTTTTTAACTTGGTGATTGATGCCAAGAGTGTGACTAGAGCAGCCATCTTTCTTGGCGTTGTTTACTTGAGATATTTTTGTACTGAACACAAATAATAATTGCAGAACTGAATGAACTTTTTAGTTAAGCTGGAATGACTTTGAAACAAGCCCCGGCGATCCAAGATGGCGCCCTATTCAAATGAATGGTTGTGCTCAGTGGCGCTTTGTGACAGCATGGGGGCTGAAAGATTAGCGGAAGTTGCCTGAAACTCGCAAAGATCTATGGGAAACTCGCCTGTATTTGGGCATCGTCTGGTCCTCCCGGTTCTGTGCAGTGGATGATCTCCCATAATGCGTTGCGCCAAACACGCGTGTGTGGGTCTCACACCGGGTCTCACGCACGTGCACAGAGGGGCTCGGCCGCGCTCTGACCAATCAGAGCAGTTCATCAGAGCGGGAGTTAGAGCGAGAGCCAGACAAGCAGAGTTTGTTGCACTAAAGTGTGGATTTAAACAAAACCGAAGGATTTAAGAAGAAAAAAAGTTCAGGATGACAAGGGACACTAAAATCCCCACAAAATCCGATCTTTATTAAAGCTGTAGGTTCTCTGTCAGCTGAGGTCGAGCTGTTTTAATATGCATTGAGTTCTATGGGGAAAATTTCTGGGTAGCCCACGTGAATTTAGTCTGGTTCAGTCTGCAGTACCGCGAGAATCCCCTGAGCACATGAGTTATTCAGCTACAAGCTAGTAATACCCTATCCAGTTATTATAATACATCCATGCTTTGAAACCACAAAAACTAAACTAGTTTAGTCACTATAGTAGCCGACCAACTTGGAGACAATCCATGTAATTATGAACTCCCAAAACTGTGTTTTTAGCCTCTGTCACATCTTTAGATCAAGTAAAATGAAGAAGAGAATCCCACACTAAGCCAATAAGATCTCAGTATGTTAGATAACAACATAACATATTTCTAAAAAGATGAAGACAGCATGCTGTGGTCTGATCTGTTCACAAAATATCACTCGAACAAGACTCTTTCCGTTGGGAAAAACAATATATATATTTTCATAAAACCAAAACACGTTATGTTGTCTAATTTGTTTTTTTATGGTAATTTACATTTTCCATGTTCTAACACAGCATTTATTAATTAGTGTTTTGAGACCCTCTGACATGACCTCCATGATGTCCACTGCACCCGTCGGCTCGTCCCATTAGGAGACCGTTCCATGTCCAGGGAGGCTGACTTTATTTGTTGCTCTAAGCCAATTAGCAGTAGTAGCAAAGGACACTGAGGACTCTGCACAGAGCCTGTCCCTCTGGGCTTTTTTTCTTTTACGGAGACTCCCAGGACGTTCATTAGAGTCCACTCAGGATGTGACTCTGCACGGGACACACATCCGCCTCTTTGAACCCAGCGCCGTGCCTTTTCTGCATAGAGACTGTTAATACTTAAATGACAGGTGATTATTCACGAGTATGTTGAAATAAGCTCTGGTGCAAGTTCCAAAAATGCCCCTAAAAAGCAACACCATCAAAGATCTTTATTTATCATCATATTAATCTTCAACATCAACCTTACACTGCTGTTTCCTGTTGGGTTGTGTTTTTTCTATACTTCAGACTTCACACACTCATCTTTTATATACATTTGTAGTCTTTATTTTTCTGTGTGATTTATTTATTTTTTCTTCTAATGCTTCAGTGTAATGTTAGATGGAGGTATTTAACAAAGCATTGAAGCTGGACCAATCAGACGCTTCCCACGGAAAAGCATGTCAGTGAACCTGCTTTTGTCAAAAGCGTGTCTGAGTATGATTCCTCCCAGCAGCACATACTCTCAGGGCCTTCTCAGTCCCTGTTCCCTCTGTACCGGGCCACCCTGGAAAATCACTTCCACATTTAATTTCTCACATGAGAATAGTAAAGTGTACGCATCTAAATGGTGAAATTGTTCAAATATATATATTTTTTCTATAACTGCACTTAAAATGTGAAGCCAATGAATGATATATTGACTCATTACATAATTTGATGGTGTACAGTGCGTTTTCAAAATATGAAATTTGTTATTTGGGGTTTTTACAAGCTGTGAGCCGTTATTAACAACATGATAACAAATAGAAGCCTGATATAGCTCACGTTGAGTGTAATGAGTCTGTCATATATGTGTTTTACATTGATAGTTGAAACGGTTTCTAAAGTTTCACTTGTCTGGGACAGACGACAACAAGTCTCTAAGAAAATGAGACATTGCTATATATTGAACACAGAATAATCACATGATATTAATGAATGAATAAAAAATAATGTTTCCCTCTAGTGTGTAAAGATAGTTATTGCTTCTTTTTGGTTTTATTTCTTTTGTCCCATTTATTACATTTTATTCATTCAGTTATATTGTTTCCGTGAAAGCTGAAAGGAAAGCTAAGGGGCTAAAATTGCGTTCAAACTCAAAGAAATGAGCACACTGAAAGTAACAATAATGGAGTTACAGCAGGAGCCAAAATAAGTCATTAGAATATGTTACTGACCAAAATGTTCATCCTGTCTCAACACTGGTCGTAGCCAACCAACTTTGAGACAAAAATCTTGTTTCAGAATGATGCATTCCTTTATTCCCACAAGGCTAGTCCATCTTCTCCTGAAGTATTTTACTAACTTTTCCCCAAACAATGTGTCCATTCAGCGTCCAGTCCACCTGATCTGACTTTTTTTGGTGCATTTAGAAGAAACCCAACACTGCCACGAATAGATACAGTGTCTGAGGTTAAGTTAAGAAAGTACACTGACATTTATGCAGTCGGTGCGATGCAGATGAAAACAGTGTTGAATTATCTTTTAACCTCAAGCAAGTGTTTTTTTAATATGAATAAAAAGGAAAAATAACTAAATGTCATCCGGCCTTATTAAACATATTCGCCCACTATGTCTGAAAGCTTTGGACTTTTGAGGCCTAGAGCAGACAGAGCAAGCAAAGGTTTTTCTTCTTTTTTACCGAATGAATTGCTCATTCTGCTTCCCAGATCATTATTTTGAGAGCACATGTACAGGTACAGTTAATTAGGAACTGATTTCTTTCTGATATGGTGAGATGGTAGAGAGATGTTCCAAAATCATAATTTGATATATTATGTACAGGCTCTTAAATGGCCCTGCTATCACCTCAAAACATCAAAGCCATGAGCTCCTATTTTTGTTTTTGCAGATGAAAAAGGATTTAAAAAATGAAGACTCGATAACTCAGGAGGTGGTGGGGAATGCTCATATCGAAAACTATGCCTTAAAGATGTTTCTATATGCTGACAACGAAGACCGAAACGGACGCTTCCACAAGTAAGAAACTCTGAGACAATACATGCATCCCAATGTTTTTATTTTGCATTGGTTTCATTATTATAGGATGTAGCACACAGTTATTTCATGCTAATATAATTTATCATTCTGATGGTTATTGCAGTACTTTTTTATACGTATACTGTCTTATACTGTGACAATTTGTGGTAAATAAAAAATGTCTGCGAGAGATCACATTGCTGTTCTCATCCACATACTGTAAGAGGCTCATAAGGCTGCTTGATAAAACATTAGATTAAGCACAGAAAACGATCAGAGTCATGACACAGCATGGCAACTCTGTCATGGTGTTCCCATCTGTGGACAAAAACAGTTCTACAAACCACAATAATACAACATTTGTGTTATTAAAGAAGCCGTGGGTAAAATGGACGGATCCTTGCTGTACATTTTTTTTTAGAATTGATCTAAAATGACTTGCATGCACTGACTTCTGCAAACCTTGACAATAAAACACATGAATGTGCATTAGTGTGCTCCTGAGCAGCGGCACACCAGACTCCACCCACTTCTTCAGGTGAGTCCAGTTTTAACCTGAAGATTTTAGAAAATTGGTGGAGGGTGGAACAAACACCTGCAGCCGTACCTGCTCGCAGGACTAGCACACATTTTCTCACCTCCACTACATTTTTGGCTTATGAATTAATACATTTCGGTGAATAACTGGGATTCGTTTAGTTTGAAATGTTTGTGCTAAGGGTTTAACTACATTTTTGTTTTGAAGATTTCTTTTTTATAGAAGATTACAAAATACATTTGTATATATTTTATATTGCATTATAGATGTGTGCCTTGGAAAATTCCAAATATGACGTATCAAATCATATCCAAATAAAATCTTGATTATGATTTTGTTTGCATGTAACTTCATTGTCAAACATGTAAGTGGTTCATCCTCTTCATCTCAAAGTCCTCTGTTTCTTAGCCTGTCGCTAAGAAACAGAGGACTTGTTGACTCATGAGAGTTTTGGCAGTGGTTTCCCTACATTTTGTGAAAGTTACGCTGTGACTCAGAACTGACACTTTGACACCCATTCACACTAAGTGTTTTCCGAAGTGTCTAATGGGAACTTGATAGAAATCAGTACAAAGCAGTATGACGTTGTTTATTACTGAAGTATTTTTCTTTTTGTGTGAGCTACAAATAAGCTGTTTTTCTGAGTTTTTCAACGTTAGCCTGACACATACAGAAGAATGATTTTCCCTTGTGCTATCCTCGGGACCAGCCACAGTAATTAAAAACTATTCTAAATAATTGTTGTTCGAGCTGACTTTAGTTGATTTTTTTCTAACTTGACCATCGCTGGGTCATTTAGATCCTAAATTAGTGGGGGTTTCTACTTTTAATCACTGGCAGGTAATTTTGCCCCAAATGTTTTTCCCAAATTATTATAACAAGACACACATACAAACACACACAGGGCCAAAACCAAAACAACATACGCACATCTGTATAATAAAAAAATAAAAAATTGAAGCACTTGCCTTCAGAGATTGGGCTCTTGTCCTTCATGTAGTTGTTGTTGTGAAAAATATGTTAATATTGCTTCTCTAGGATGATGATTTCAGATGTGACGTAATACTGGGGACGTGGATGTAAACTTTAAAAGAGACGTTTTGGAAGTCTCTTTCACATTTACTTTCTCCCAACAACTTAGAATTGTTGGTTGGGATTTTGAGCTCTTTTAGTATTTGGAGCAGCAGCCACTGTGAATCTCCTCTTGACCTAAAGGCCTCCTGCGAGGGAGTAGGGGAGGGCGAGCGTGTGGGGATGGAAGCTAAGTGGTTATTTGTCTTTTAGCAGTTAAAATATATTTTTACCGAAGTATGAGACTAATTACTTAATATTAATAATTTAGGCAATAATATCCACAGTTGAATAATGCTACAATTACTGACAATGCTACCAGAGGGAAGTGTAGAATTTTTTTTGTTGAAAATTACCAACTGCAAACACAACCGCATGAATGCACAGATGCACAGAACATGCATTCACTTGAGACATTTTCAAAACTAGTTTAGCATATTATGTCAATATGAAACTATGCTATTGACAACATTGCTCCCTGCTTACTTATCACGCAGTGTCGTGCAGTTGTTGTGCGACCTCCTGTTGACTGGTTCTGGTAGCAGTAAAAACAGGAAGGTCCGTTTCCACACGTTAAACTTTAAGTGTTGAGTCTGTCAATGGGTCCAGGTGACATAACCAGGCCCAGTTTATTTGTTTTTGAGAATAAACATGGGCGAAGGGTCTGAAGGAAAACAAACACTAGTGTATAATGAGGAACAGGGGTCAGTGCCGCACTAGACACACCTTGTTAAAATAGATTTACAAACTGAGCCTGGAGAAGGTAACGGCATGCAGGGGCACACGTTTTATTTACTTTTTGCTTACTCTAATGCTTTAAATATTTAAATGGAAATAACTGGCAAAAGAAGGTTTTAGAATTTTTCTTTCCATAACACATTCAGTATTTCAAATTCAGTAAGTAAACTATTTCTCATAATTCCTCATATATTGCTCATGATTTGTGAAAAATTGGGTATAGCCACTAATATCAAAATCACAGGTTGGCAATGTTTGTCCTGGCAGCCTATTTATAACTAAGATCTCTATAATAGCCGTGTTCTGTTCCCATCTTTGCGCTTTTTCTCAATAATATCACTGTACAAGGGGGCACATTGTGACAATCACAAGAGTTTTGAAGCCTACCATACAAATAACACCAATCTACTAAAGTAACAATTATTGGCAACTAAATACGCAAGCTGTGGCTGTGATGGTTGATATTATTTGTCAGCTTTGACCCCACAATGAAGAGAACAGAGAGCAAAACATGAAGCAGTGTGGGCCGTAGTTTTACTAATTGTTTTTAATGTATATTATTACCTATGAGCTATGGCCATATGGTCATCTTTCCAGTTCGACGAACAAACTGAAAACTACTAAAAGAAGAGATACATTTATAGAACTATTGTTATTATTACTGTTATTTTAAGGGTGCATTTAAGGGTGCATGTAAGGGCGTTTTCTGGTCAAGTAAACTTGGTTGAAATGCACAACATAAACTGTTCAAAGTGTGCTGACTGGGGTTACTTTCACATCTGTTGAAGCAGATTCAGCCTAAAGTGAACCCGGATGTATTTGTTGAAATAGAGTACAAAAATGATAGTTTCCATTGATCAGTTCAACACAAGCCTGACAGGTACCAAATATTCATCTGCTTATACCTACCTCGTAAAATGTACTGAAAACTGACCCTACATCTGCATTGATCCTCTTACCTTCACATGGGGTGTTTTTATTACAAAGGGGTTCCTGCTGCAGCCTGGACTTCCCGGTAGCATGTTAAGGTTGTAATGGGGTGGTGGGAATATAGAGAACATGAATGGGGTCGTTGTGGCTCTTGGGCCTCAGTGAGTTACAGGAAGTGTCTGATTCCAGTGTAGTTTCCCATAAACATCCTTCAAGTATTGAGGAGCAGAGCACAGGGAGCCCAGGCTGGTCCAGGAGGGGTCAGGGGTACCATTATGGCTTGGCTTTCGTAAGTGATATTTGTGGCCACTGTGTTCATCTGAATACGTTTACTGTTAACTCAACTCTTTGGCTTTCGTTTGTCCTCCATCAAACGCATACAGTGCTATCCTTTTACAGTTTTGCTGGCACAATTTTTAAAGTCACTTATATTACAAACATTAAACGGCCTAATTGTGCAGAGACAACAGGCAGGAAAAAATGTAAATGATTCAGTCGCTCTGGCTGTTAATTACAAATCTTTGCTTGTTTGTAATTAGTGCATTTTCCACTTTTCCTCATGACTAGCTTTAGCTGGTGGGCTTCTGCTGCTGCTGCTGTCTATCCCAGCCTCGTTAAGCTTTAAGACTGATGAATATTCTCCACAAGTTTCCACCGTTAATGAGTCAAAACCAAGCAGTTTATTACAGCGGGCTTAAGGGAAAGAAACGCACAACTTTGTATATTTGACATCAAACAGTTTGCCAAAAGAAATCCACATTTTCAATCAATGTGTTCCAATGGTTTCTCATTCCTGTAGTTCCAGATGGTACATTAAATCACCAAAAACATTACGGAAACAAATGTAATGTTTTGGGGTGTTTACTGTGTAACAAAGTGAATTATACTTGTTTTCCTTTTGATTTTTGACTCCTTACACCACTCAATACCAGTTTTTATAGCACATTGTAAACTTGTATGTGTCTCAGGATCTTCAGCATCATTCTCATCCCCATTATTGGACACAAATTACAGTAATACCACATTTAAATGTTATGTTTAAGGGACACTATCACAAAGTATAATGAAATGTGTTCATGCTATTGAACCTTTTTTTATAAATACAAAACTGAAAAGCGTGGTGTGCAAAAGCCCCCTTTTCCTCGGTGTCACCAATTGCCTTCGGAAGTGGCCTGGTGATTTCTGAATGTTCACATGTTGACCAAGTATCTCTGCAAGACTTTATTGGGTATTGAGTTAATTTCAATTAGACCAGTGGGCAGGTTTCACAGACTTTTTACAGGTCTATATTTTGGCATGTACCCCTAGTAACAATGTGTTGTTTTGTAACTTAGAAAAATAGTTGTAAAATAATTTTTCATTGCACAGATTATTCCCATTTTGGATCAAAGTGCATTTCAGCGGTTGATCAGTTGTTGATTCATTCTCAGATTTGAACCTTTCACACCGGCTTACTGCTCCTGTTTGCATGCATCTGTTCCTGTGTCTTCTTCTGTCAAAGAATAATTGGGTTGAACATGTAAATAATTTGATAACTGTCTTACTCCATTTTCAGACCTAACCTACTTTTTATGGGGTGGTTGGGTTTATGTGTTATTGGGCATGTAAAGCAAATTGTGAAGCATTTTGTGTTTCATTGTTTTTATCAAGACCCTAAAACTACAAAACTCACGTGCAAGGTTGAAATGAGTCTTTATGAAATCATATTTGAGGCTGATTATGTGACAGTACAGTAATGGCACAGTGAAGGGCAAATTTACGCAGCACGTGTCTGTAACAAGAAACACCTGTGATATTTAACTGCTCAACTCGTCCTGTTCTGCTCCATGGAGGGGTACAACACTCTTTGATGATTGCAAATTGGCTTCTTAAAATGAGATAATGCTTATGTGCCGAATATGGAGCAGTAGGGATAATAATGAAGCTTCAGACGTTCATCTTTGTTATCCTCAAGGGGAAATTCTTTACATTCACAGTGCCCTTTTGACATTTAAACATACAGGAAAGAACATGTAACATACAGGTTTCATGTGTGACAGGCTACATAGGTCTGATTTTTAGTACTCTCAGTAATGATTCATTTACCTTACTTACTTTAACATTTTCTTAAAATGCAGAGATTTGTTAATGAACAAAATGGAACAGAAAATTATTTTTTCTCATTTAAGGTGTGGCATTGCAAAAATGCTACTCCCTTAAACCATTTGACTGTTCTCCATCTCTTGGTGTTATTTATTTGTGTTTGTGTTTACAGGAATATGATTAAGTCCTTCTACACTGCAAGTCTCCTGATTGATGTCCTTTCTGTGTTTGGGGAACTAACAGAAGAGGTAAGAGCTATTTGTCAATCGAGCTAAATACAAAATAAGTTGGTTCTCATGAACATTGTCCAAATTATGGACAATTATGGATTTATTGGAATGTTGCATTTTACTACATTTTGATGAAAGATTTGGATTTGGATTTGAGCTATATGGATTGAGCTCCATAGTCCCACGGCTGTTGGACACCAACTCAATCCTTCATTGGGCGCTCAATGGATGATGAAGTTTGCCCAATTAGTGTTTTGTTGATCTCCATGGCTATTTGAAATGCACAATAGGATCCCAATGTGCACAATTAAGCTATGTTTTCAATAATAGACATTTGATAAAACAAGGTACAATCAGGCACTTTAGAGGATTGTTGTGCCAACACATTTCCATACAAGGTCATACACATTTACTCTTCATGTTAGGGTGCTACTTTCATCTGCTGTCACTAGTGCATTCACTTGTGTGACAGATGGAAAATCTGGGACCATTATCCCATTACCACAAAACTTGTTGGAGGGCGAATGTTTAGTGTCCTGCTAAACATAACTGAAGGAGCTGACAGAGAACACATCCAGCTGTGAGTGCTCAGAGGTGGTTTTCACCATGTTGAGTCCAAACATGACTGGAACGACTTTGGAGGACAAAAACTATAAGATAGCACAGATGATATTTTGTTTTTCAAATCTGCATAGTGTCCACATACAGCAAACCCCAATCAGGACGTCAGTTTAAACACTGGAATTACAATAATAATAAAATAATAAAACCCATTGGGAGCTCTCATAGGGAGCGGGATGACCAATGTTTCGGATCACCACTGTCTGTAGACCCTGCTGCAATGCCAACAACTCAAAATACCCAGTGGGAAAATAGTGGGAAACTTTGGGGAGGCCCTCAATGAGAGAGGGAGCTGCTCCCATGGACGGACAGGCTACAGATCCAGGAATCAGGCTGAAGAAAGAGGACTGCATGAGGCTGTGCAGTGCAGGACTGAAGAGGCTCCCAGGCGGCGAGGGGGGTGCAGCCCACGAGTCCGGGCCAGGTGACCAGTTCACCACGCCATGAAATAGACTATGAGACAGCAGGTTAATAGCAATGATCAGGCAATAGCTGAAGTCATAATGTTGTCAGAAGAGGAGAGGATAGTGGTCAAGTTACCACCCTTCTCCCTGCAAACCCTAACCCTTGACTGTTATCTTTTTTTGCTCAAAAGCCTGACCTTGAATGTAGAGACTATCTGCTACCTTGACGTGGATGGGGACTTGATTCTACAGTATACAAGCTTAGTAGCTAAACGCTCTGACACCTCTATTTTTTGACACTCTGGGAATGTTGTAGTGTCTATTATGTCAAAGGCAGCGCTGAGGTCCAATAGAACCAACAGATTAGATTAACAATGCCTTGCACTTGCAATCTAATGTATGGACTTTGAAACAGCTGTATCCAGTCTTTCTCAAACCATCTCATCAGTCTGGACAAAGAATAACCTCTCTACTTCAGTCGCTCCATTAGTGCGCATCAGGCGTCCTATAAAGTTTCACCTCCAGACTTGTCTTGTTTTCTTTTGCTCTGATAATAATTCTAAAGCATTTATTTCAATGGCATACTCGAAACATTTAACAAAGGCTATTGTTTATAAAAGACGTTTCTTATTTCCAGTATAAGAAACGTTGCATTTGTTTCACCAAAACACATGTGAATTTTGTGCCTTTTTATAATGGGCTCATTAAAGCTGTATTTTCCACTCCAATATCACAGCAGTGTTGTGGTCAGAGATTAGCGTGGCTACCTTTTGCTTCCTGGCTCCACAAACATTCAGCCATTGTTTTAGATTACACTGTTGGGACTTATCTGTTCAGAGCAGGGCCTTTTCAATTCAGGCTTATCTGAGTCAGTCCTGTGTCCATCTCTCAGTAGCCCACATCCCACACATTCAAATGTTTACCGTCTACAACTATTATTCTTTTATTCTTGGTATTTCATATATTTTTCAATGTATCACAAAATTTTTCACGCAGATTTTAAACTATGGAGAGAACAGTAATCTGTGTAGGGCTTTTGATACTTTTTTATAGGGGTTATACCAGTGGGGGCAGGTCCCGGCTCAAAAATGTCCATGCGCACATGCGCATGGACGTGCGCATGGACAGCCTAGTTTAACCACTGTGGACTTTAGAATGCACTTGTTAAATGAATGGGGCTGGTGCCGGGTAGTGCATGCGGAAATTCCCCGCGGCCCTTTTGAAAAATATCCGTGACTACGTCCGTTAATATTTACGGTCTATGGGTTATGGCTCACTCCACACTAAACTGTACTAATGTGTTACATTTGGGTCAATGACAATAAAAAATCCCGAAATTTCCGCGGCCGCTTGAAATGGTTTTGAGCTATCATCTGAGATTATCCTATGTATGTTTATATGTATGGGGTGATCGGGAAGATTGTCCCCCCTGATCTGAACCCGAGCGGTGTTCAGTTGTTGGACTTCTGTGCCAGTCACAGTTTGTCCATCACGAACACCATGTTCGAGCACAAGGGTGTCCACCAGTGCACGTGGCACCAGGACACCCTAGGCCGGAGGTCGATGATCGACTTTGTTGTCGTATCATCTGACCTTCGACCGCGTGTCTCGGACACTCGGGTAAAGAGAGGGGCGGAGCTGTCAACCAATCATCACCTGGTCGTGAGTTGGATCCGCTGGCAGGGGAAGAAGCCGGTCAGACCTGGCAGACCCAAGCGTATAGTGAGGGTCTGCTGGGAACGTCTCGCTGAGCCCCCTGTCAGACGGACTTTCAACTCACACCTCCGGGAGAGCTTCTCCCAGGTCCCGGCGGAGGAGGGGGACATGGAGTCCGAGTGGACCATGTTCTCTGCCTCAATCGCCGATGCGGCGGCTCGTAGCTCTGGGAGCAAGGTCTCTGGTGCTGGTCCCGGCGACAACCCCCGAACCCGGTGGTGGACACCGGCAGTAAGGGATGCTGTCAGGCTGAAGAAGGAGTCCTATCGAGCCATGATGGTTCGGGGGACTCCTGAGGCAGCTGTCCAGTACCGGCAGGCCAAGCGTGCCGCGGCCCGGGCTGTTGCAGAGGCAAAAACCCGAGACTGGGAGGAGTTCGGAGAGTCCATGGAGCATGACTATCGGTCGGCCTCGAAGAGATTCTGGCAGGAGGAGCAGTGTGGTTTTCGTCCCGGTCGCGGAACACTGGACCAGCACTATACTCTCCATCGGATACTCGAGGGTTCATGGGAGTTCGTCCAACCTGTCCACATGTGCTTTGTGGATTTGGGGAAGGCGTTCGACTGTGTTCCCCGGGGTGTCCTTTGGGGGGTTCTCCGGGAGTACGGGGTCGGAGGTCCTCTGCTGAGGGCCATCCGATCCCTGTATGACCGGAGCCAGAGCTGTGTTCGCATTGCCGGCAGTAAGTCAGACCTGTTCCCGGTGAATGTTGGCCTCCGACAGGGCTGCCCTTTGTCACCGGTTCTGTTCACTGTGTTTATGGACAGAATTTCTAGGCGCAGCCAGGGGTCGGAGGGGGTCCGGTTCGGAGACCACAGGATTTCATCTCTGCTGTTTGCGGACGATGTTGTCCTGTTGGCTCCGATGAACCAGGACCTGCAGCATGCACTGGGGCGGTTTGCAGCCGAGTGTGAAGCGGCTGGGATGAGAATCAGCACCTCCAAATCCGAGGCCGTGGTGCTCGATCGGAAAAAGGTGCCTTGCCCTCTACAGGTGGGTGGAGAGGTCCTTCCTCAAGTGGAGGAGTTCAAGTATCTCGGGGTCTTGTTCACGAGTGAGGGAAGAATGGAGCGTGAGATTGACAGGCGGATGTACCGTCTTTACCGTTGTGGTAAAGAGGGAGCTGAGCCGAAAGGCAAAGCTCTCTATTTACCGGTCAATCTTCGTTCCCTCCCTCACCTATGGTCATGAGTTTGGGTAATGACCGAAAGAACGAGATCGCGGATACAAGCGGTCGAAATGAGCTTCCTCCGCAGAGTGGCTGGGCGCTCCCTTAGAGATAGGGTGAGGAGCTCAGTCACACGGGAGGAGCTCGGAGTAGAGCCGCTGCTTCTCAACGTCGAGAGGAACCAGTTGAGGTGGCTCGGGCATCTGTTCCGGATGCCTCCTGGACGCCTCCCTGGGGAGGTGTTCCGGGCACGTCCCACCGGGAGGAGGTCCCGGGGAAGACCTAGGACACGCTGGAGGGACTATGTCTCTCAGCTGGCCTGGGAATGCCTTGGGGTCCCCCCGGATGAGCTGGAGGAAGTGTGTGTGGATAGGGAAGTCTGGGCTTCTCTGCTTAGACTGCTGCCCCCGCGACCCGGCAACGGATAAATCGGAAGAAAATGGATGAATGGATGGATGGATGGATGTTTATAAACTACATAGTATTAAAGAATTATGAGGTACAAACATTTTTGGTTCATAATTTATTTTAGTGCTGCTTGAAGTCAGATTGACGCATTGTACAGTTTAACTTGTAGTGAGCCTTTATAGGTTTGTGATATGCAACAGGGGTCCACAAAAGACACAATTTAGATCATACTTGCGATAACAGCATCTGTACAATACCGGTGAAACTCCGAAAAGTTGAAAATTGTCCATTACTTAAAATGTAAAATCAATATAATATTCACTGAGCCATTTTTTTATATTTTTATAATCACATTTTCTGTGATGTGCAAGCTGTAAGCCAATAGTTTTACACTGTAAGTTGATTTACATAAGTAATTGCAGAAATTTTTAACTATATTCTAATTTTTCCCCTGTACTTTAATGATTGGTCTGGGGGGAAAAATCTAAAATGGATTTGATATTTTAAACATACATATTATACTTTTTTGTCATATTGTGTAACTCTACTTGGATTTAACGTCTTTACACATATTTCAACGAGATTATTGCTGACAGAATGTTCCCTTAACGCTCAATAATTACAGTGTCTTGCGAAAGTATTCGGCCCCCTTGAACCTTTCAACATTTTGCCACATTTCAGGCTTCAAACATAAAGATATAAAATTTTAATTTTTTGTCATGAATCAACAACAAGTGGGACACAATCGTGAAGTGGAACGAAATGTATTGGATAATTTAAACTTTTTTAACAAATAAAAAACTGAAAAGTGGGGTGTGCAATATTATTCGGCCCCTTTACTTTCAGTGCAGCAAACTCCAGAAGTTCAGTGAGGATCTTTGAATGATCCAATGTTGTCCTAAATGACTGATGATGATAAATAGAATGCACCTGTGTGTAATCAAGTCTCCGTATAAATGCACCTGCTCTTTGGTAGTCTCAGGGTTCTGTTTAAAGCACAGAGAGAACCATGAAGACAAAGGAACACACCAGGCAGGTCCGAGATACTGTTGTGGAGAAGTTTAAGGTCGGATTTGGATACAAAAAGATTTCCCAAGCTTTAAACATCTCAAGGAGCACTGTGCAAGCAATTGTATTGAAATGGAAGGAGTATCAGACCACTGTAAATCTACCAAGACCCGGCCGTCCCTCCAAACTTTCATCTCAAACAAGGAGAAGATTGATCATAGATGCAGCCAAGAGGCCCATGATCACTCTGGATGAACTGCAGATAACTACAGCTGAGGTGGGAGAGTCTGTCCAGTCGTGCACTGCACAAATCTGGCCTTTATGGAAGAGTGGCAAGAAGAAAGCCATTTCTCAACTATATCCATAAAAAGTCTCGTTTGCCACAAGCCACCTGGGAGACACACCAAACATGTGGAAGAAGGTGCTCTGGTCAGATGAAACCAAAATCAAACTTTTTGGCCACAATGCAAAACGATATGTTTGGCGTAAAAGCAACACAGCTCATCACCCTGAACACACCATCCCCACTGTCAAACATGGTGCTGGCAGCATCATGCTTTTCTTCAGCAGGGACAGGGAAGATGGCTAAAATTGATGGGAAGATGGATGGAGCCAAATACAGGACCATTCTGGAAGAAAACCTGTTGGAGTCTGCAAAAGACCTGAGATTGGGACGGAGATTTATCTTCCAACAGGACAATGATCCAAAACATAAAGCCAAATCTACAATGGAATGGTTCACAAATAGACGTATCCAGGTGTTAGAATGGCCAAGTCAAAGTCCAGACCTGAATCCAATCGAGAATCTGTGGAAAGAGCTGAAGACTGCTGTTCACAAACGCTCTCCATCCAACCTCACTGAGCTCGAGCTGTTTTGCAAGGAAGAATGGGAAAGAATTCCAGTCTCTCGATGTGCAAAACTGATACATACCCCAAGCCACTTGCAGCTGTAATTGCAGCAAAAGGTGGCGCTACAAAGTATTAGCGCAAGGGGGCCGAATAATATTGCACGCCCCACTTTTCAGTTTTTTATGTGTTAAAAAAGTTTAAATTATCCAATAAATTTCGTTCCACTTCACGATTGTGTCCCACTTGTTGTTGATTCTTGACAAAATATTTAATTTTTATATCTTTATGTTTGAAGCCTGAAATGTGGCGAAATGTTGAAAGGTTCAAGGGGGCTGAATACTTTTGCAAGGTACTGTATGTCTCATGACCATAATGAGTGAACATTGACCCTATATTTCACAGAATTTTCTTGTATCATATAAAATTAATTTAAACGTCCATTCTCCTCCAGAACATCCAGCACAGGAAATATGCGCGCTGGAAGGCCACGTACATCCACAACTGCCTGAAGAACGGAGAGACGCCCCAGTCCGGACCTATTGGCTTGGAAGAGGAGGAGGAGGAGGAGGAGGAGGATGAGGAAGCAGGTGGGGGTCGCTGATATGGCACAAACACACTAAATACAAGTAACTGTAGGAGCCTGAGCACTGATCCAAAACCAAACAAAATGCTGCACTCTTTAGAGAACAGATGCAATTCTACATGTTGAAGCAGGTCTAGCAGAAAGTAGTGTCGTATATGAATTTAGAGGAAATGGTTCTGTCTAATGCCACCACAAAGGTACAAAAGCCAGTCTTTGTGCTTGAACTCAGAAGTGGTGATAGGAGCATTGATTCACACTCTGCATTTGATTCATCACCCCCAGGAAAACGCATGCAGGAAAAGTTCCAATTGGATCAAAGTTCAGGCGTACAAAGATGTATCTGATTCGTCTCTCTTGCACATGAGGCGGTTTCAAAAAGTGTAGTTTGTGAAACTGTAAACAGCAGCTGGAGACGATCTTCTCTTATTTTTATTTGACATCACAGCACCAGCATTATGTATGTCACACCACCTCCGAGTTCTTTTACTGATGGCTCTCTTCTTTATTATTCCATGAACACAATGTCTTAAATGAAACATGTAGCACAACGACGCCACCGTCAAACTAAAATCAAGCAACATAAAATACAATCAGTTACACAAAACTGAAACACAAAAATAATGCACTTAAACATACTTCACACACATATACACATAGCTCGCTGGCTGACCTATACTTCAGAGGTAGAGGATGACCTTGTCATCGCTCAAAACACGTGTACGTAAAATAAATGGCTCTTTATAGCAAACTTTTACCATGGACGTTACTTTACATGGGAACTTGCGTAATTCAATTAGCGTCACAGAAAACCGGTAAGACAAACAACAAAGGTTCCTACTCAAGTATTTTCATTAAAAAAAAAAAAAAAATTCACAAATAATTCTAACCTGGACAAATCAAAAGTATGGCTGTAAAAATGTACGTTTTGTAAATGTTTGTATTTTTGTCAAGGAACTACACTATTTATTCATGTGTTGTTCCTTGATTAAGGGTTGGTTATTCCATAATATGTTCATCCAAACATTGTTTGCCTTCTATAAAAAGATTTCAATACAATCAAACTGATTCTATTTTAATGCTTGTGTTGCTTCACAATTTAAATCCGGCCAGTTTGTGACCTTTTCCTCTCTCTGCTCACTTTAAAACATAACCTTTAGCCGGAGCGATGCTTGGAAAAAAACAAGGAGCAGAAAGGCCTGTGAAAGTTCAGTGCACTGAGAGGAACATGTGGCGTATGAGAAGAAGCCTTCTGTGCACCAGGCTGTTGGGTCCAGGCATTCGTTCATTCATTGGACTCTGCCACAAATGGCCACATGTTGTTGCAATGTGGCATTTTTTAAAATGTGATTTGTTTTGCTGAGAAAACTTGGTAATATATTGTATGAGTTCTAACTTCCAGCATTCATCTATCTGTGCAATGCAACTTCTCTACAATATTGATTGCTTCAAATGTTTACTAATACTTTTCATTGAGGTAAAGTTAATATTTTGTCTGTGGACAATGTTCCAAATAGTACAAGTAGAGTTATCTCTGTGGAAAGCAACATTGTCATTGAAACAAACCCAAGACTCTATGAACACTCCCTCCGCACTTTATAAATGTATACACATCACATTTGGTGTGAGCCAAAAATATACAGTTCACAAAATATGTTTACAATATGTTTTTCATTTTATTGGATGAAGCTAATTAAGTTTGTATGGCGTGCATAAGTCTTTAATGCTTCAGGAGAAAACGCATATGGTTCTTGATATTCTAATCAGATTATGATTTAGAGAGATCTGTTTGTCGTTGGCTATATGACCATCTGGACTCATTTTAAGATTTCAGCCCCAGTTTTGCAGATTGCGTCAGGGTTCTCGAGGGATCGCCCTGAGCAGTGCTTTCTGACAACTTCACCTTGGAACATGCGCTCCTGTCCCTAAGGGGGAAATCTACACGTATTTTTCATATCGACGAACTGGTGTCGAGCGAATGTTTTGGTGGATAAAGGCCAGCTGGCGGGCTCCACCCTCACAATACTCTGAAATGTGGGTGTGTGCACGTTTGACCCAGACTTCTTCATGACATCAGTCCAAACTCAACAGAGACATTCACACTCCTCCTCCGTTACATTAACACATTTTTATATAAGGTTCGACAACTGCATTTGTTGAGAAACGTATACAAGTTCTCAGTATTTACAGTACCCTGTATTTCTTAACTTGCAACACACATATAATACATTTACTGTATAACATTGAAGTCCTAGTTTCAGTTCTCCATTTAGGAAGCCTCAGTAAGCATATTCAAATATGTGTATGTTGTTTATCTAATTTAAGTTTGTTTCATGGATGTTTTGGTAAATATAATTCGTTTTTAATGCTAGGATATGAGCGTATGGCATGTGGAGGTTTGTTTCTAGATTTCTACACTCAGTCAAACAGATGAACCTGGATTTGAACATTGTCGTATGTTAGGTTAAAAAAAACCAATGAATATAAAGTAAATAAATAGTATCGCGTATATTAAGTCACGTATAATAAACAACGTAGGGAAGTTACAAAACTGAACTAAGTTACCGCAACAAAAACAAATTTACCAACCAAAATAACTCGTACCAAAGGCTTAATACAAACTAATTCAAATAATAATGTGGCTCAACAAAATGTAATCTAACCTGGAAAGATCAGCTGGTGGAAATGCATTAGATCAGAGATATGGGCGTATGTATTTTGTGTGTGTTTATTTGACAGGGATAGTACAATTGCACTTCAAATCTACAGTACATAGGCCGAATTACACATTGGAATTATCTTCCCACCAGGATAAACAAATGTGCCAAATTATGACATATTTAATCGAATCAGTATTAATGGTAACTTCACTTTTGCGGAATACTTATTGGTTTATATTTGCAAAAATGTTAAAGTCCCATGTAGCATGTGCAATTTTTATCTCCTCTTTATTTACCCAAACACACAAACAAACAATATACATAAACAGTCTGCACAACGAATGAAAAAATAAAGAAATAAAGCACCATGGACGTGCAACATGGAGAGTTCCCAGCAGGCAATGTTAATAAATGTTAAGACTGTCAGCTCGACTGTCGGCCATGATCTTGTGGCAATCATCTTCTTGGCAGCAGTGAGCCCTGCCAAAAGAACCCTCTGTTTTGCACAGTTGAGTCCGAGCCAAGACAAATCATTCAGCAGAGTGACTAGGGGGTAGCAGGGCACCAGGCACAACAGAAAGATGGACAGACCTCCGGCCACCATTTCCCAAAACGGTCCAACCCCCGGGCAATGATTTGTATTGTGTTCTGCGTCTATTGGCCTTGTCTGGGTCTAACTAAAAGGACATAGTGATGATCCAGGACACTCAACACAACATTTATGGACCAATGGCTCTATGTGGTTTTTTTTATTAATCATGGCTCTTGTGCTTGATTCTCTGATCTGTGTTGGCGAATTCAACGGTTTTGTTAAGTCCTCAGAGATAACTACTTTTTTTTAGGGCTATACAAGAATAAATTGAATTGATTATTTGGTACTGCAATAGCACATATAATGTCTAAACTTTAAGGAGTATTTAACCTGTCAGTGCCTTACTCTATAGAGCTCTCAAACACATAGATTCTTTCTCCCTCATTCTGGTAAGACTGCCTCTCCCAGAATGCTCTTGGGCTCCAGTATGTCAGTGAGGATGACAGTCTATTCCCACTTAAACGCTCAGCCCCACAGCGTACAGTGAAGTCATACAATACAACTGAACATCTACATTTCAACAATTAGATTTGAGATTAGGATTAGATTAAGACATCGATGAAGATTTAAGTGAAATTGTTCATTTTCAAAGTTTGAGAAAGTTTAGATTTACTCTCATTAAATAGATCTTTTCTTGAGTATTATTCCTGCTCTGAAAATTCCCAAAGCATCAGTCATATCAGTGTGAGTGGGAGTGGTAGAACAGATTTTGCTTCTGGCCACCCTTGAAGTCATGCTTACAGTCTTTCTCACTGTCACTATGTTTCCGTCACTCAGCGCCAGGGCAGCTGTAACTTCAGAAGTGGAGTCTAAGCACAGTTTTGTTTTGGTTCACTTTCAAATGCACAAATGAACATTCTTGAGCCAAGTGATTGGTCCATGCTACTGCTTTGTTGACGGATATTGGCAAAAAAGACATAGCAGCAGGTTTTGTAACTTATGAACGCCCATAGCTTCACTGTGGAGCTTGCGCATATGCATCAAACGACGCTGATCAATGATGAGAAGTTAAACAACCGACTTTCTGTACTTTTACCACAGTATTCAGTAAAAAAGACTTTGCCATTCTCTCTCGAGCTTCATTAACCCAGTCAGCAGGAATAAGTGATTGCCGCGCCAAGAGCATGTGGCCGTCAGAGATATCGCAGAAGTTATGTCTTAGTTATTGGGAAATGAGCTATGAAGAACAGTACATTTGCAAAAGGCTTAATATTTAATCTTAACATCAGTCATTTTGTTCATACATTTGATTTGCCATTATTCATTGGTTGCCCAGTGTTAAAGATTAGGTGACATTACTATTTTAAGGTTAAGTGTTTATTTAAAACTTCAGAACAAAACAAACAAGATACAGACATTTGATTTGAAAAGCCTACATCATGTTGTCCCGCGGAAGAATACACATCTTAGTGAGTTCTTTCATCAATTTAAGTAAGTACGTAAGTAAGCAATTATTTATATAGCGCCTTTCACAGACTAGTCACAAAGCGCTTTACAATTGTTGTGGGTAATTGTCTCTCACTCCACAAAGAGAAGGGAGTGAGCTCGCCAGTACAGGAGGCGCATGCCAGACCTATTGTTTATGTTTTTAGTGGTAGGGGAAACCGGAGCACCTGGAGGAAACCTACGCAGGCACAGGGAGAACACACAAACTCCACTCAGAAAGACCCTGTTCCAACCGGGATTCGAACCCAGGACCTTCTTGCTGAGAATCCACTCAGCCACCGTGTCGCCCAGATAGAGATGGTCCGTTTCAGCACCATCAAAAAAAAATATTTTTCCTATATTGCGTAATCGTAAACTTCTCCATCTCTTCACCCTTCACCACAATCAATTATAACCTTTTAGTTGCATACAGTTTCACATTTCACGCTCCCCTGTCAAATATGTCAAAACCCTTCTACACAATTATCCACTGACGTCAAAGCATGTATTTTTCTGTGACAAAGTGTATGTATTTGGAAGTAAGTGGCACCTAATTAGATCAACACAGGTATTTGACGAATAGACATTTGGTTGACATTTTTAAGTCTTATTTCCTGTATTTACTGTTGGAATTCTGCTAATGTCACCAATAAACTGCTGACGGAGGAGGCAGAAGGTCTGAATGGAGTTGAGGCATGTGTGCTGTACTTTGTGGGACAAGGTGTTTGTGTTAGTGTACTTTGCCATTTACTTTTTAGATCACTCTATATAACATTTTTTTATCTTTGGCTGTATCAAGCAATGTTCAGATGGCTCTGGGCAGAAGAAAACTACAACAAGAAGATTGTCTTGAGTGAAATCTGTCAGTGATGACTTCTTATTGATCAGATTTCTTTCATTGGGTGGTTATAATCATGGTTCCTTTGATTTTCGGGCGTTGTTAATTATCTCCACCCACATATCACTCAAACGAGGAGAGCAGTTTTCCTCGTACTGGGGGAACGTCGATGTGGAGAGAGAAGGGGGCAAACCTGACAGACTGTTTGTTAGCCTAATGCTTGTCCCTTCAAAGGTGCTAATCTGTTGCACTGATGGTCAGAATAACCACAGAAAATGGTGTGTTGGGGTTTGGCTGTAAGGTGTCACCATAGCGACACACACTGACAGAATTATAGAGGTAACTTTAAAGGTTTATCAGAGCGGCATACGGAAATAATTTTTGCCTAATGCGCTAAAATATGTATCATTATATTTAAAAGTTAAATGTGTAGTAATAGTATATTTTCTTCGGCCAATGTGTACACCAGGTCTCAGGTCCCACGGTTTCAGAGATCACATATACTTTGTACAAAAAAAAAAAAAAAATGGGTCCATAAAGGACCTTGTGCGAAATAATGCCTGACCGAAAGGGATTTTGGCTGAAATCGAAACTTTTACTGCCTAACCCCAATTACTATGTGACAATACGTGTGCAAAAATGACAAATTATACAGTTTCTCACATACCAACGATGGTATGGAGCACAAAACTTAAACTTCTACAAATCAAAATTATGCTATACAAGATCAAAATTATAGATGACACAATATACAGTTTTTCATATACCAACGATAGTAACATGAAGCACAAAAGTATATATGAAAATGTAGGCTCGTACTGTGCTTTTTCTGCTGTTTGTCCTCATTTTCCTTATGCTAGGAGCTTATGCTAGCTAACGGCCAGGGCTGGGACTGTCCCTTTCCTCGGACATGTTTTTGGACAGTGTAATGGACAAAATATATATACTTCAAATATATTCAGAACTGTTAACCACAAGTAGCATGTTGTTCAAACCTTTTGCATCATTTTAATCATGGAAAAGATAGAAGCAGGCCTAGTAGAAATTGTTCCATAATATAGTATGTTGAATTCCCACCGCTCAAGAGTTTGATTGATGGAAACCAGTACATGCTCATTTTGTCATCTATTGTCCAGTGTGCCCTTTGGCAAAAAAAGCACAGCGCTCTGCTCATCCCTGCTAAACCATTCCAAGTCCATTTGTAAAGTGAGTCATCTTTCCTCTCACTTCTGACCACAAGAACTGGGTCTGTATCCAGCTCCCAGCAAAATCTTTCTACTAAACAGAAAGTTGTTATGAAAATTCCCAAAGGGTATTCTCATAATAACTTGATCTTATTTGTCCATATTTGATGTAGGCTTAAATACATTATTAGTTTTTAACTTGCCGTCTGAGATTATACTTTAATTCAAAAACTCACCAAATGATTGTTAACAATGGAGTATTTTCAAAAGATTTTGTTTGTGGAGAAGATTCAGGAACTGTTTTTTGGACTACAAATATTACCTTGGCTCATTGTGGCTTTCCAGGAATGGCTTTAAGCCTGCAGCTAATGAGTTTAAAGAAAAGGTCTCTTCTTAAACTTTTCTATTTGTTCTTGGTCCCGCTGTGAAGTCCCCGACCTCATTCTAATTCTGTCTTGTTCTTTTATCAGAGCACAAATGGGCAAAGAACAGAAGTTTTGAGAAATTGGAAAGACTTCCATTTCCCTGTAGGATCTTTTGTGTTTGGAAGAAAGAGCAAAGACCTCCAGTTCAGCCTTGTCCCAGAACATGTCTGAAGCTCAACAGTCTGTAAGGCAGTATAGATGGTTTTCCGCAATGTGCCCATTACCCATGATGCTTTGCGCGAATGCCATGTTGTGTGTCAAGCTTGTTTTGCACGGATCATTTGTCCCTGTGTCATCTAAAGCCACGAATTCGGCCAACGCTGACCGCGTTAGGTATATTGATACACCGGATGTAATCTGTAAGGCAAGCTACTTGGGGAAATTTGGATCAATATAAAATGCGGCGAGACCAGTGGACTTCGCCAGAAATGGCTTACTTTCACTTAAAGGAATAGTTCACCGTTTTTACATACTGACATATGTTCTTACCTTACCTTAGACTAGTTAATATGTACCTGTCTGGTCTTAGTCCGTGCGCTCTGTCATGCAAATGGAGCAAAAACGGGAGCACAAACGCAACCTCCTCTGTATACTGTATAGTACCCAAAAGGTAGCTCCCGCTAGAAGCTACCAAACTCTTCCAAGTGTTCCCTATTAAATGTATATAGATTTTCCATCCATCCATCCATTTTCTACCCTTTAATCCATTTCTGGGTCAGGGGGGTGGCAGTCAGAGATGCCACCCAAGTCTCATAGCACCAGCCCCTCACTGATCCTCTGCAGGTGGTGAGTCCACAGGAGGACGGCTGCTCTCTGAGTGTGAGCATAGCCTTGATCTTTCAGTGGGGGCTTTGGGCAAAGTGGGGTTAAGTGTCTTGCCCAAGGACACAACGACAGCAGTCATCAGTGGGAGTCGATGGAGAAGGTGCAGAGGTGGGAATTGAACCCACGACCTTCTGGCCTTAAGGCCAATGCTCTACCAACTGAGCTACTGTCGCCCTGTATATAGATTATGGATAAAACGGGTACTATATTGTACCGTTTTATCCGCTGAGAAAATTGACAGTTACATTTCTGTGTTACTATACTTTGCAGTGTAACACGTCACGTAACTATATACATTTAATAGGGAACACTTGGAAGAGTTTGGTAGCTTCTAGCGGGAGCTACCTTTTGGGTACTATACAGTATACAGAGGAGGCTGCGTTTGTGCTCCCGTTTTTGCTCCGTTTGCATGACAGAGCGCACGGACTAAGACCAGACAGGTACATATTAACTAGTCTAAGGTAAGGTAAGAACATATGTCAGTATGTAAAAACGGTGAACTATTCCTTTTAAAAGGTCATGATGTATATGATGCAATATTTCTTTCAATCATTCATTTATTTTGAACGAAGCAGTTGATATCACAGGCTGTAAATCACTGACCCACGGCCATACAAGCTTCTGTCTACCACCCTTTCCCCCCTCCTCCTCTTCCTCCTCTCATTCATTTAGAGGGGATCGCTTTAGGCCCATACTGTATATACATTGTATCACAGTCGAATCGCAGCTCTGACTATAAACCACACATGCACAGATTTAGCTAGCTCCTACCTGTTATGAATTGGTCAGAACAGACCTTATAGTATGTTTTTCAGGGGGTTAGGGTTGAATCCCTCTCGATTGATCCTCGCCATCTAACGGGTTCTTCTCTCCGTCGAGAGTCGCTCCCCTGGGTCGTAATAACCTTCGGAATGTCCCCACAATCTGCACGGTTACTGCACCCCCAAACGACGCAGGTAGTCGTCATGTTTTAGCGCAAAAAAAGAGATGTGCTACGCTTTGTTTACCTACAACTATCGGCGGCAAGACTTACAATATGGCAAACTGCGGAATTGTAGATAGTGCGTGACCAATAGACATCAACAGGACAATGTGACAAGACCTTCCCCATTAACATCCTAAAAGGCCGCTTTGGCTGGGCTCCCCTCCGTGTGGGCTCCCCCAGACTTCCTGGTGCCAAAGTGAATTAATAATCTAGCCACATACAGTATACTTACATACTTAAATATTCATAGTACTCTGTAAAATTTAGTCTACGTTGACAAAAGTGGTCTTATCTCTCAGCCGATCTCTGGTTCAAGGTGTGTTGCTCTTAAATGAGGTGTGGTGCTGAAATCTCAACAAACCGTCTGTCATAGAAATGTGTCATTGAATTTATGTATTAGTTTTTCCAAAATGAAGGTGCATATGCTCAAACTTTGTTTGATCCCTGTGCTGATAAAAGCAAGACTACAAATAATCCAAAGAAACTGCCATCTTAATCATATTCTGTCTTTGTCCCAGGTGGACAAGGAGCCTCTGGATTCTCAGGCCCCGGTTCCTCGCAATATGGCTCGTTCAGAGGTGGAGCTCCTTCACAGAACTTTGAGGACCAGGGCTTCGGAGCAGGCCCCAGTGGGGGTGCAGGTATTGGGTTCAGTCCAGGACCGGCCCCCGCAGGACCCCCTTCCGGACCCCCGAACATCAACTACAATAACATCCATGTCCCGCCAGGAGCACATGCACCGGCCAACACTCCTGCTGAGCTGCACCAGCTTCCAGGTATCTGAGCTCAAAACAACAAACACTCATTACATTAGTCATTCAGTCTACGCCTGGTCGGCCTCTGAGAACACACCACGAGCTCAGAGATGGATGGGACACTGTGCGTTCACTGATTCTTACTCTGGATATAACATCAGTCAGATGAATACTGTTGTAACATTGGACAAGGCACTTCATTTGCCCTTGTTGTACAGCCAAGTTTAACTGGTCCCTTTTAAATGATGCATTCAATAGAATAATACAATATAGATTGCCTTGTCTGAGTGTTCCACTGTATGTGGCATTAAACTGTGTTTGTGGCAGATGTTTTACATCCATACATTCTTATTTAACATACATTCTTATTCAACCACTGGAAAAGTTGTAATTGAAACTGTAATTGACACGAATATGAGGTGTTATAAAATATGGTTTTGACAATATTTAATTATTTAATTATCTTATCATATTAAAAATAAGTCATTTTACAAATTGCTATAATTGCCTTATAGTTTAGTATGGAGACCTATGTATTTTAATACGTATTTGATCACCAGATACAAGCCAATGCTCTGCATTTTAGGTATTGTCTATTTTTTTGGTATAATGCAAACACAATGAAGACCTATTGAGTCATAATGTGTTTCTGTAAGAGCTGGCATTTCCTTTTGTCTCCCTGTTGTGATCCCATTCCCAATTTCCCCTGATAACTCTGTAATACGTGATGCTCTGGCCGTCCGCTGGCACTGACTTCCCCAAAAGGCTGATCTGGTGCTCTCAAACTAACAGTGGAGTGTGCATGTGCAGCTGTGAGACCTTCTGCAAATTAGAGAAGTCCTCCTGAGGTTACTGCGATGAGTTCAGTGCTCCAGAGAGATCGTCTTTTCAGATGGTGTCAAACAAGAACATTTAGCTCATTGGTTTACATGAGGCCACAGCCAAAAGTGAGGAGCAGTCTGTTCAAGTCAAGTCCGACTTGGGGTTAATATAGGTAATGGACTACAAACGTTTGGCTAATGGATGGTTTCGAAGCTACAAAGAATAATCTTTTGTGTCTCTTTTTCAGTCTCAAATCTCTTTTAGTGGTATTTAATGTGTCCCCGCTGAAGACATACACCTCATACACCATTTAGGAACACATTCTTCACTTTTCGTTATCTCAAAACAGCCAAAGTATTTTGAATTTGAAACCAGAAGAAAAGCAGTGATGTAGTTTATTCTGTTTGTTTGACAGAGCCTCAAAAACCTGTGCCTACACCTCGAGCCATGCCTGCGGTCGACCCCGGTCTCCTCAATGCCCAGCCACAAGGTAAACACTCTCAAGCCAGGCGGTGCTTTGTTGTCAAGTACGGCAATACACTTCAATTATGCTTATAGTCTCCTCACATTTAAATGAAATGTTTGGTAAATCATTGTCTGTAAATGTAAGGGTAAGGGTGAAGTCTGTAAGTGTAATGTGTGTACTGTATCTACAGTTTATCTACATTAGAATCAGTTTAGATAAAGCGGCCTGCCCATAGACCTACAGGTGGAAAGTTAGCGTCTTTGCTCTAACCTGGTACAATGCATCTCTCTCTTGTGTTGATGTTTAATTGTACTCTGTCCTTGTTCAAAGAAAGTACATCTCATACCAGATGAAACACTAGATCCTTTAAGAGGTACTTAAATACACACACTGTCATACAATTCTGTTAGAACCCATGAAGAATCTGTTTGCCTTTCATCACAAAGTTCTGCACAAAATAAAATCCATTCCTGCCGATACATAAACATCATTTAGCCTTCAACACATTTGATATATTTATCTAAAAAGGATCCAAAGGTGTTAGGAATTATCAATCCTTTTAGCTTTTAATCATGTTTCACCATTTTTCCCTCGTCAAAAACAGAAAGGCGACAGATTTAGTATCTTGATCCATCCACACGAAAATCAAAAATCTCGGGCACAAACATCTAACTCTTCCCCTTCTATCTTCACATTTTAGAACAAAAGTATTGCCCCTTGAAAAAAATGTCTTCATAATCACATGGCTGTGTTTGCAGCTGGTTATTCTTTCTTAATTTAGGAAAAAATCAAGACATTTTTTAAGGGTTTTTTTTTTTTTTATCCTGGGTACTTGTTGTATATTCTAAAACATGAAGAGACAACATAAAAAGTCACATTATTATTTTTCAATGACCAGAAATAATGTAAGTAAGTGAGTAATGCATATTTTTATCTTGAAGTCCATCAAAACCTGCGTCAGAGCTTTGACTAAGTTTGACTGCATATGAAATGGTCTTTGAATTTACTGCTCACAGCTACTTTTTCATGTAGAATAAAGGATGAATACTTGCCACTTCAACTTTATTTCAACTAATGAGTTCAAATACTGATTGTGGCATTTCTCTTCAAATCAACACCGCTGCACCCAGAGTGGGCACGGCGCAGCAGGGGGCAGTGTTTGACATAACCTTTTCAAAAATCTATGTAATATTGTAGTTGATGTATGCGTCCACAGCAGTCGCAGCCTTAGCCTTTTATGTGAAATGCCACTTTCGTATTCCGCCACCCGACAAATCACGCAACATGGGGTCTGTGAGGTGTTTACGCAAATTCATGGAAATGAAAATCATAGAATCCATTTGGCTAAACCAGGTCAAAACAGTTTTTTTGTTTGTTACAAAGTACACAGAAGTGACTATTGTCCTGTGTGAAGCATTGCGGAAAACTTGGAAGTGGACTATTGATAAAGATATAGAGTTAAATTAAAGATTGAGTTTGCTTATAAAGAAGTCAAAATGCTTATCACTTGGCTTATTATTCAGGGTTTTAAATTGTAGTTCCCTCTTGCATATTTCGTGCATGTTATCGTGCAAATGTAATCGTTGCTGTACATACTAGGCCCGAACCAATAGATATAAAAGAGGACATTTAATGACACTGAATTATAACAAGATACAAACAGACATAACAGAAAATATCATACCCCAACGAGAGATGGTTGGAGAGAGAGAGAGAGAACCCTGGAGGCTCTGGGCCTCAGCATTAGGCTGCTACATGTTGCTTAGAGAGTTGACACCGACAAAGAGCCCAAACTAGTCCATCCCAGCTCTCTATATACTGGCTGTGAGGTTACTCTCAGGTTCCACTGGATTGGTCAGGGGGGTCAGCCAGGAGCAAGCCAGCCCCATGGAGGGGGGACATGGAAATCCCAATATGCCATAAATGCGTAAAAATATATAATTGTACCATTCTTCATGCCTGTCTGGTCTCCATCATCACGGTATTGGTATAATAAAACCCTGCATTCAGTGAAAACCAAGCTTTTTTTTCCTGAAAGACTTCCGCCCTCCACGGGTTCTCATTGGTTGGTTTCAGCTGTCTATCTACAGAAACTATAAGGTTTGTGGTTGGCTGGTCGTAGGGGTCCAGGACAATTGTAAAAAAATGTCACCTTGTTTAATTTATGTACTTGTTTTGTGCAAACTGGAGACTTTTGCGAATGTATTCCAATGGGGTTAGGGTTAGGGTCACTTCAAATGGCAAAAAAAGTGACTCTGAATCTGAAAATGTTGTTTTGGTTGATGTTATGTGTCTGGCAGAACTGTACATGCAGGACGAGCACAGTGGAAAATCTATATTTTGTTGCTTGTTTGTAATCAATAATGTTCATATGTCGATATCTATACGATAACATATCTATCTGCCCTAATGTCCATTTTCAACCCCAGTGCACCTGTGTTCAGATGCTTCAGTGGATATCTGTTCAAGTCGTCTCTATGGGAAACCACACAATATTTAGTTTATCACAAACACACTTTGGACTGAAAAATTATTACCTGCTTGAAATTCAAATATTGTAGCAAAGAAATATTACACCTTTTTGTTCATTTTGTCCTTGCCGCAAAACCTCTTTTGTAGGTTTCTCCATTGTGAGATCCATAAAGTTTTTCTTATGTTATCTAATTTAATATTTTAAAATAATGACATAAAAATAGCTGCCTCTCTGGCCTTGTCGAACCACATGCCCCATCTTTAAGTAAATGTAACTTTTGACAAGTTTTTCTCTAATCCTGTAGTTTTACAACATGTCACTGTTCCCCTGAATCTTCTGTTACACTGAATTACCTCTCATTTTCTCCTCCCTTTTCCATCTTCCTCTCTCTCCCTCTGCTGAGTATTGTGAATGCAGCTGTTTGCCTCAAACAGTAAATTAAGAAAGTATTTAATAACACACTTCCAACTCTGCTGGATTAGAGCTGTCTGGGTGCCACAGATTTCAGCAGCCACTCCTCCCACTTCTGGGAAATAAAATGCATTTTCAGCACTGCATGGATAAATTGGTGACATGACTAATTCAAAATCTCCCCCAAGTCTTTTTAGAGATAATTCCTCCAACATAATTACAATAATATGGATTTAGAAATAACTTGGCTGGCCCTATAGCAACACAATGACCTGTATCTCTGGTATCGTGGTTTTGGAGTTTGTAACGCGTTAGACTCAAGTAGACCTGTCACAATAACGTCTAAATCAATCGTTCAATAATAATAATAATAATAATAATAATAATAATAATAATGCATCGGTTTTATATAGCGCTTTTTTGGACACTCGAAGACTCTCACTCCATACACGTTGGTGATAAACCACTACTGTAGCCACAGCTGCCCTGGGGCACACTGACCGAAGCAAGGCAACCAGTCTGTGCCATCGGCCCCTCCGACCACCACCAACCATTCACACACTGGTCTTGCCTGAGGACACAACAGCAGTTTGGCACTTTACAGCCGCAGCCGCCCCAATAACTCATTATTCATTGTTTGTACATTTTCTTTTCCATATTGGAGAAATTTTATTACTTTTACTATTTTCTTTTTAAAATAATGAGGTTTTAGCTGTAGAGGGTTCAATAAGTAACACATCTTCATATCGGCTATGCCTTTTGATGAACTTTTAAAACTTTCCTTACTGAGATTATCCTGCTGTTTGTACTCGTCAGCAGCAGAAAGAAGGTTCAATATTACTGTTTTTTTGCAGAGCTACGTGTTTAGTTCTATCACACACAAAAATACATGACATTTCATAGAATCAGGATTAGAAAATGCCAAAAGCAGAAATAGCGTTAAAAAAAAAAATAAGAAAAATCATCCGTGACTGTTCCATTGTTGAGGCAAAGGCATTAATTGGATTTTTGATAAATGTACCTTGAAAGCTTTACTTAAAAAGTTTTTTTTTTCCCCGAGAAATGTCATGATTGCCTCCTGTGCTTCATACACACATGAGCCCGTCATGACTGGTCTCTGGGGAGTCTGTGGGTCCAGCAGCTCTGGGCTGTTGCCAGGAGATAAAACTCATGGCGTTAATTAAGTCCGTGCATCTGTCCTCATTGACCACAGAGAAAGGTATTTTGTACTCCTCACCTGCATATGCTCAAATTAGATGTTGAACTTTGTCGCTCTCAAAATGTATCCCTTTTTTTTCATTTTTGAAAGGTTAAAGGAATAGTTCACCGTTTTTACATACTGACATATGTTCTTACCTTACCTTAGACTAGTTAATACGTATCTGTCTGGTCTTAGTCCGTGCGCTCTGTCATGCAAACGGAGCAAAAACGGGAGCACAAATGCAGCCTCCTCTGTATATTTTGTAGCACCAAAAGGTAGCTCCCGCTAGAAGCTACCAAACTCTTCCAAGTGTTCCCTATTAAATGTATATAGTTACGTGACGTGTTACACTGCAAAGTATAGTAACACAGAAATGTAACAGTCGATTTTCTCAGCGGATAAAACGGGTACTATATTGTGAGGCGTAGTAATCTGAGGAGCGCTACGTCCGCGCACTAACTTCTCTCCGGAGACTTCTCTCTCGCTCACTTCCGTCAATAGAAGCAGCGTGACTTGTAGTACGGAGAGAAGTTAGTGCGCGGACGTAGCGCTCCTCAGATTACTACGCCTCACAATATAGTACCCGTTTTATCCGCTGAGAAAAAATCGACTGTTACATTTCTGTGTTACTATACTTTGCAGTGTAACACGTCACGTAACTATATACATTTAATAGGGAACACTTGGAAGAGTTTGGTAGCTTCTAGCGGGAGCTACCTTTTGGTGCTACAAAATATACAGAGGAGGCTGCATTTGTGCTCCCGTTTTTGCTCCGTTTGCATGACAGAGCACACGGACTAAGACCAGACAGATACGTATTAACTAGTCTAAGGTAAGGTAAGAACATATGTCAGTATGTAAAAACGGTGAACTATTCCTTTAAAGCTGTGAATGCAATTAAGAAAATAAACTATTCCATGGGCATACTATGAAGAACTATTCGTATGTCTTAAAAAGTAAGAAGTCTCCTTTCCATCTCCGCGCTGTCCTTTCCTCCAGATCTCTGCTGTTGAACTCGTGTAGATTTTGGCCTGGTCCCATCCTTCTTCAGACTGGCCTCTTGTTCGCTCAGCACATTTTGAGAGGAGGAGGCAGATCCGCTCGGGATTACAGGCTTATGGTCATAGCATAATTCAATTTCTCTCAAAAATACGGTTTAGAAGTACCACTGCACCGAGAGAGGTATGTTACCGTCTGATAGCGGTCATTGAGCGAGTCCTCCAACATTGTACAGGCACACAACAGTATATGTGCCGGAGACATTATACATTGTTCAAATATGGGCTTCTTTATTGACTTGTTCTTAAGAATGTCTAAATGTTTTCCCAGATTATTATTTTATTCATATTAGATTCACAAACCTGCCATGTTATTAGTTATTTTATTTTTATTATTATTTTTTTGACATGAGAAAACTTAAGGTTACTTAACGTAACCCCGGTTCTTTGATAACAGAGTGAGGTGTTTCACTATGGGAATCGCCTTGGGCGTGACCATCCATGGAAGCTCCAATGGCACCACGTCTGTCTTTTGACAGACAGGTTGACAGTACCTAGCACCGCCCACCTATCCTGGTACAGTCAACCTCCTCCTTTTGGAATCATTCAAAAGCGCTTTCTGACCGCTTTGCAAGGAGGGTAATGAAGGTGAAACACCTCACTCTGTTATCAAAGAACCGGGGTTACGTTAAGTAACCTTAAGTTCTTTTTCTAACTTCGTTCGGTGTTTCACTATGGGAGATATGGACAACTCCCGTATTGCAAGAACTGCTCCTGAAGCAAAAGGACCACCGAGGCGCCAGACGGTGACCTCAAACAGTACCAGAAGCACTTGGTTCCAAGACTACCTGAGCCAAAGAGGAGCCAGAGACATCCAGTCGATAAAAACGAACAAAGGTATGCGGCGATGACCAGCTGGCCGCCGCACATATATCCTGGACAGACACACCTCGGAACAGGGCCCAAGAAGTGGCAACACCCCTGGTGGAGTGTGCCCTCAACCCCTGCGGTGGCACTATACCCCTGCAGGTATAGGCCAGAGAAATTGTCTCCACAATCCAGTGAGAGATCCTCTGACTGGACACCGGCTTTCCCAAATGGGGAGAAGCCCAGGACACAAACAACTGGTCGGCTTTCCTTAAACCAGCTGTCCTGTCAACATATACCCGCAGCGCGCGCACTGGGCACAAAGAGTGCAGTAGCCGCTCCTCCTCAGAGGAGAAAGGCGGAGGATGGAAGGCATTAAGCTCCAGTGTAGGGCAGCTATATGCAGAATCCACCTTTGGTACAAAAGCCGGGTTAGGGCGCAAGCGCACCTTAGATAACCCCGGCGCAAACTGCAGACACGAGGGGCTGACAGAAAAAGCCTGCAGTTCACTCACGCGCTTTGCAGACGTCAGAGCAAGAAGCAGAACTGTCTTATAAGCAACATACTTCAAGGCCACAGCCCCTAAGGGCTCAAAAGGGTGATGACAAAGGGCATCAAGCACGACCGACAAATCCCACAAGGGAACCAGGGACTTAACCACTGGAAGTTTACGTCAAGCACCCCTCATGAAGCGACAAACTAGAGGGTGCTGTCCCACAGTTTTGTCACCGATACCCACGTGGCACGCCGATATGGCAGCCAAATAGACCTTTATAGTAGAAAAAGCCTTACGCTCTTCTAACAAATGTTGTAAAAAACATAAGACGTCAGACACGGAGCATTGGAACGGGATGATCTGTCTAGCCCCACACCATCCCTCAAAAACCCGCCACTTGCAGCTATACAAAGAGCGAGTGGAGGAGGCCCTAGCACACTGTATAGTATCTATAACAGGCGCCGGAAGACCCGTGGCGTTCAAGTTCCACCTTTCACGGGCCAGGCCCAGAGAGCCACCCGGTCTGGGTGAGGATGAAAAATCTCCCCGCCCGCCTGGCACAACAGGTCCCTCCGCAGAGGAAGAGGCCATGGGTCGTCCCATAAAAGCTGCACTATCTCCGCCATCCATGGCTTGGACAACCAACGGGGAGCAATCAAAATGAGCGACAGCCTCTGTTCTCTCACCCGCGCTAGGGTGGGGGAGATCAGACTGATGGGAGGAAACGCATATAGTAGAACGGTCGGCCACGGGTGGGCCAGAGCGTCCACGCCCAGAGACGCGTTTGCGTCTCCCAGAGAGAAGAACAGTGGGCACTTTGCGTTTTCCCGCGAGGCGAAGAGATCTACGGCAGCCCGACCGTATCTCCGCCACAACTGCTCCACCACCTGAGGGTGGAGAACCCACTCTCCGTACAGGGGGTTTCCCCTCGAAAGCAGGTCGGCCCCCTTGTTGAGGACGCCTGGAACATAAGACGCTCGGAGAGATAGGAACCTTGTGTCGCTCCACAAAATCACCCTCTGTGCCAGCCTGTGCAGCTGAAGAGAGCGGGTACCACCCTGGCGATTTATGTACGAGACAACTGTTGCATTGTCTGTTCTCACCAGAACGTGATGGTCCTGAAGGAAAGGCAGAAAATGCTTCAGAGCTAGATACACCGCCCAAAGTTCCAGCACATTGATGTGCCTCTGGGCTAAATGTGGGTCCCAGGTCCCATTCACCGTCCGACCCGACAGAGTGGCCCCCCACCCTGACAGGGAAGCGTCGGTTGTCAGGGTAACCCTTGACGACACGGCGCCCAGCGGGACTCCGGCTGAAAGAGCATGATGAGCCTCCCGCCACGGACGTAGTGCAATAACACACTGGGAATCCACCTTCACTCTGCGGTGAAGGTGACGTTTGGGACACAAGCGCAACGCTGTGATCCAACGTTGAAATGGTCTCATCATTAAAAGCCCTAGGCGCACGACAGGTATTACTGACGCCATGAGACCAGCGAGGCGCAGGCACGTTCTGAACGTGACTGTCGCACCCGGGTTGAAAAACGCCAAGCAGCGAGTGAGAAACAGCCGTCTCTCGTCTGTCAGTGTGGCTCGATGTGAAACAGAGTTTATGCATAAACCCAGGTATTGAGTCTGCTGTCTGGGTTCCAACCGGCTCTTTGCGTGGTTTATTCTGAAACCCAGGCTGGTCAAGTGACTGAGCACTGTGGCAGTCTCTCTCACTGCGGCGCCCTGTGAACTGGCGCATATCAGGTAATCGTCTATATAAGAGAATATCCGTATTCCCCTGGCCCGGAGAGGAGCCAGAGCTGCCTCCACACAAGTGGTGAACACCCGTGGGGCTAGGGAGAGACCGAAAGGAATGACCTGGTACTCGTACGCTGTTCCCCCGTGAGCAAAACGGAGAAATTTCCTGTGCGCTGGATGCACCTCGATGTGGAAATATGCATCCGCAAGATCGATTGTGGTGAACCAATCCCCTTTGCGTATTGAACGACACAGAGCTTTGTGCGTCAACATTTTGAATCTGAATCTCCGTAGATGTGTGTTCAAAACACGGAGGTCTAGAATGGGACGCAGTGACAGAGAGCCCTTCTTTGGAACCAGAAAGTAGCGGGAGTAGAAGCCCAGCTGAGACTCGCTCTCTGGTACAATGCGGATAGCGTGCTTGCTTAACAGGGATGTAATTTCGTCCTGTAAGACACGGGCTGCGTCCCCTGAAGCCACTGAAACAAGCACTCCGTTGAAGGAGGGTGGTTTTATAGCAAACTGCAGTCTGTAACCTCGAGAAACAGTGGCTTGAACCCAAGGATTGACTGCGCATGCGCGCCACTGCTCCGCTCTGACAGAGAGTGGGGCTTGCACCAGGGGAATCCCTGGTGACGTCACTCCCCTGAGAGGAGCAGAGCCTTCTGCCTGAGAAGGAGCGTGAGCTCCCTCTGGAGGCGAACGAAGGGAATGATCCAAACTTAATTGAATTTTTTTGTTTGTTTGATAACTCACCCTTAGCCCTTGGCCTGGATGTGAGTTTAACAACTTTATTTTTTGAAAAAGTGTTTTGTGAACATGAGACCCAAGACTCATTCCCTGTAACGTGCGAGGGGAGAGAAAGCCAGAGAGGTCGCCTGGAGAACTGTGCGGGGCCTCTGAACTGGTACCAGGGTCCATTCTCCTCCTTTTCAGAGGGGGAACAGGTGAAGAAGCTTGATTGCTAGGAATTGCGCTTCTTTTTGCTCTCCCCGGGCTGAGAAGAGCGGTTTTTTGCTGCAGCCGCAGCATAGGAGTGTTTTCCCCATGGTCTGGAGTTGCCTGGCCGTTGCTGCTGGCCAGAATGCTGGTTGGAATGCTGGCCAGAGTGCTGGGTTGCCCCCCTCTGCGGCCCAGGGCCCGCCCTGGGAACCCTGGGAACCCTGGGGCCTGTCTGTCCAGAGGGGCCCGCTCTCTGGGGCTGCGCTGGACGAGGAGGTTGTTTCCTTGCCAGACAAAGATTAAAGGCCGCACCCTCCTCTTTACGGAGGGTACTGGTCTCCTTCATCTTCTCCAGGGCCGGACCAAATAGACCTTTGGTAGGGTCATAAGCAGTGTCCATAACTTCAGCCTTCTGAGCGTCTGTCAGACCTGAGTGGTTGAGCCATAGACCCCTCTCACCCGCTACGGCCAGTCCCATGACATGGCCGCAGCCCTGGACAGCTCCACGAGTAGAGCGTAGGATGAGGTCATTTACCACGCAGATTTCCTCCCAGAGGACCGGGTTAGGAGACCCGGAGTCCAGCTGTTGTCCCATTTCCTCAAGTAGTTCCCCTTGATAACCGGACAGTAAAGTCACAGTATTCAGTACGCATGCAGATTGAGAAGCATATCTGTACATGCGTTGCAGAATGGAGGATGTAACTCTCTCTGATTTTGTGGGCAGGGAAACCTGACTTGAGGCTGAGACGGAACGGCGATTAGGATGGAGGTGAAAAGCCACTGAAGGCTCCACCGCTGGGGGTTCGGCCAACCCCAGCTCCTTCATCCCATGGATCTCCAGCTTTGAATAGCCCTGTACAGGAAGCTTGCTCCTAAGTGGGTTATTCCAAAACCTCCCCACCTCTCTCATGCATGCGCTGACAGCAGGGAGAAGTTGCTTCGGAGGTGGATGCGCTGGCGGGAGCCGTTTACCGTCATATAAATCCCTTTCCCCATCCTCCGCATCTACAGCGGCTGGCCAGGTTATGTTAAGCTTGGCGGCAGCGCGCTTGCACACATCATATACGCTGCTATCGACGGGAGTCGCAGCCTCAGATGCGCTGGAGGGTCGGGACTGGGCCGCTGGGAATGTAGAGTCCTCCTCCACATCATCCATATCCACAGCCTCGAGGAAGTCAGAAGCGGCATCATCGCCGTCTGCGCCCTCGTCGCCTGGGTCCACTTCGAGCAGGTCCTCGAATAATGGCGGCATATCAGCGTCATCGTCATTCAGCATATCTGACCATAGTTCAGTCTTACGGGGCTGTTGAGTGACGGCTGTGGGTTTATCGGTGGTCCCCGCCAGCAACTGGTCGTGGGGATGAGCCACCGCAACTCTGAGCCTCCTCTCCAATATTTTCTCAGGCATAGATGCGCAATACCCGCAGGACTCGCGGTCAGCGAGCGCTGCCTGAGCGTGTTTAGCGCCCATGCAGGTTATGCACATAGGGTGAGGGTCCCTGCCTGAGATGGCAGACCCGCATGACGCGGGACATGAGCGGGATGCAGCCTCCTTCGGCTTCGGATCCGACCCTTTGGCGGGGGTGGTAGCCGTAGACATGCCTGACAGAGAGCAGAGCTGGAGTGAGCACGATTGTATGAACCAGACAATTCGGGTTTTAAGTCAAAAAATCAGGTCCAGGCAAATTCTGTTCGCCACAACACGTTAACAGAACCGCGCACTACAATCTGTTGGCCAGTAAATTAATACTAACCAACCGAACAGAAGGACTCCGCTTTACGCGAGAGCCCTGGATTAACAAGTGAATGCTAACCGCAAGGTGATAGGACAGACTGCAACTTAATGTGATCTGTCCCCGTAAACACAAGAGCAGTTCGCCTTGACGCGGTCACTGCTCCGGTAACAAAATAATAATAGCTTAGTGGTAAGACTGTAAGGACTTACCCAGCGTCGGTGAACCAAAGCACCAGCAACTGCGCTCGCCAACGAAATCCTTTACGGCTCGTCTGTGAACTGTTAAGCAGAAGCTAGCCTAAGGTCCGAGAACGCTGAAGGAGCTAAAAGATATGGTTTCCACGCGGGAAGAAAGCGAGAATGATTCCAAAAGGAGGAGGTTGACTGTACCAGGGTAGGTGGGCGGTGCTAGGTACTGTCAACCTGTCTGTCAAAAGACAGACGTGGTGCCATTGGAGCTTCCATGGATGGTCACGCCCAAGGCGATTCCCATAGTGAAACACCGAACGAAGTTAGAAAAAGAACAATTGATACACCAGACCATAGTTCATATGCACTGGCAAAGAAGATGTGTTTTTGTTTGTATGTGAATTGGCCCAGAGATTACAGAGAAATTACCTTCAAACTAAGACTAGAAATATGACTTTTATCTTAGTTCTAGAAAGGATTTTTCAACCGCCCTCCACCACCAAAAACTAGATGCTATTTGCAGTGCAGTGATGTCACATGAACAACCATAGTGTGACTATGCACAACATACTGGATAATTTAAATGAAAAAAAAATATTAAGATTGGAATTTTTGTGTCTTTTGGCTGCACTGTCCTCAGACTTGTTTTTTTTTTTTTTTTTATATCACTATTATTATTATTTTATTTTTCACTTAATAATTTTTTTATTTATTTTCTGTAATTCTCTTGTTTTGCAACACGTTTTTTTCCTCCCCTCAAAATAAAAAAGTAAAACGTCATAAAAGACCCGTGCGATACAGTTCACTGGCCACTCGCATGTCATGGTTTGGCCGTACGAAATTGGCCGATTTAAAATTTAATCTACAAACCACATGATAATGTAAATAAAACGGACATAACTTACTTTATGAGATTTGTACATGGGAAATTAGAGAGGTTTTCTCAATGCCCTATTACCCATTTCAAAGCAAACATCCAGCCAGAAGGTACACAGCCATCAGCCGCAGAAAGGCCTGATTCCACAAACCTGGTGTTGAACCAAAGTTGACTTCTGGTTTCAGATTTACAGCCGGACTTAGCTGAACCGGTTTTGGTACAGTTTGACTTGGCCCAGTGTGATCCGGCTGCTCAGCCTCAAGGGTTCAGTTACTGTGGAGTTATTATTGGGGGAACTCCTCACATCCAGAACATGCCCAATCAAAACTGTGTGTCTTTGTACTTACACGGCGTGAGAACGAGCCTTTATCTCTGGAGAAACTTACACCTTTTCCTTTTACACAAAACTGCACTTTTCTATTGAATTTATTTAAAATAGAAATCATGTGGTGAACATAATTATACCAACAGTGGTTTTCTTGGAGGACTTTACAAAACCGTTGAATTTTCCAACACACAACAATAATCCAAGAGTTTTGTGTTGTTAGTTTTCAGTGTTGTATTTTTGATGGATCCATTGATACTTGGATTTCTTTTTAAAATTGTGTGTCCCTATACCTCTAATCGCCATTAATTTGCCCTTTTTTCAATATAAAGAAACCCCAGACTCAATTCTGTGGCAGTTACTCAACATTACTGGCTTAACCGACTTCACAATTACACTACAGCTGCACATTCATGATATTGATGTGAGAACATTGGGTTGGACTGGAGTTGAATGTATTTTCTCAAAAGCCAGAGCACTGATGGGAAAGGCTTTCGCACCAAGTTGGAAGTTTCAGAATGTCTTAAGCATTAGCATTTAGATGGAAGCGACTGTCATCCTATCTCGCCATGATTTTTATGTCTTTTAAATAGAGATTTACGGCAATAACTTTCTCCAGTGATGGACGCTTCTTCGTCAATTCAGTACATGCTTTACATTTGAAGTTGGTTTAGAAAGGAAGCCATTAAGAGCAACCTGCTTAAGTGTGCTGCTTTAGTGGCTGTCAGTTCCCTTTACTACTGCATTAGAAAAGTCCGTCTTAAGGCCTGGAATATACTATGGATGTGTGTGTGTGAGGAAGTAAAATAACACTAGCAGAACACATTTGAACAGGCTTGAGAGAAGAATCAAGTTTATTACGGGCAGAAAAAAAATCAAAATCCAAACCATTGTCACAAACATGACTATGATGGCCTAAACTGAAGAAGGAATTTCTAAAGTACTCACCTGGACTATTTTTCAGTGTTAGAGACTTTTTGACTCCCATCCAAAAGTAATTTTTCAAACTGACTAGGAGAAAAATGACTACTACCGGGTTGGAGCTTGAAAGTCTGCCGTGAAAAATAGTTCCAGATGACTACTTCTGAAACTTGAATCACTCCGGGACAAATCTAGCCTGACCTGGCAGAACCATATCCTTTTACAATATCCCTTCTCATATTTGAGGGTCTGAATCTCTGTACCAAGCTTCCCATTTCTGTTTGTTTGGACATCGATCGACCAATCAGTGTAAAACGGAAGTGTCTGCAAACCAGCTGCTACAAATCTCTGCAAGAATACCTCCTTGTCCTCTTTTGTGCTTAAAAAGTGATCATTGATGAAGCCAGATTTGGTCAGGTGACATTATTACTGCAACTTTGAGCAATTTTTTTTCGTTCCATGTTCCCAGTTCTCTGATCTGGGATTTGATTTTCTCTTTGAGGTGCTGGGAACATATGAATCCGGTTTCAGACCCATATATCCACAAGTGTCAGTATGTTTGTAGGAACTGGCTGGTCAGGGATGACACTGCTTTCAGAGTCATTTGTTCAGTATTTATTTGTACATGCATCAAGAAAGTTGGAAAAACAAACACACACAGGTAGACAGTATCAACATGCCACTTGATATCACGCCAGGCCCACTGTGTTGTTTAAATGATCAACATTTTTCTTCCTCGCAGACAATTCATTAACCTTATATAAATCATTGAATTAGGTTGAGACAGTTTTAAGTTACTGATTAAAACTTAATTCCACTGCTTGTGAAATATGATGCACATTCGAACCTCATCCACTTAATGAGAACTCCCTAATGTGGTTTTAATAATGCTATGAAATACCCATTAACACAAAAGTAGCAGCCTGAAAACCAACAAAGGATAATTGAAATGAGCAGCAATAGGCTTTTTTTATGTATTTTTCTAGGGTTGGTGTTTGGATATTGGATTTTTGGTGGGGCGGATCAGAGCTGGGAGCTGGGACGAGATAAACAAATAGTAACCCAGTCTAATTCTGATAGTGATTGGGAATATGTTTGAGTTTGGCTATGTAAAAAGTGAGTAACAAAAATATGTATCAACCTATCAATCATAAACATAAGCCTGCCAAATAATGAGCTTTAAGATTATAAATGTTTATTAACTGAATTATTGCTGCAGAATACGTTGAATCACTGTCACCCTTTCAATGCAATTATTAGATCACAAAGTAAACTGCATAAATTAAAGTTTTTGTTTTAGACCTCTGATTCTTTACCCATCCCACATATGGCCTAAGCTGGGCTAAACTATTCAAAGAAGGTTCTGGGGCTCATTCACAAATTGAGTGGCTTCAGGTTTTCATTCCAACCAAAAAGGAGCATTACAGACTTTACCCAAGTTTCAAGGTTAGGAAACACTTGAGGAAGTTGAAGTTCCCTGGTCTAGTACATAACTGTCACAATAATAAAGTCAAAACCAATGCTTGATCTGCTTGTAGTAATACTCTTTATTGATTGGTTGCTCAGGTGGCGTGCAGCTCTCCGCGGATGACTTCACCCTGGCTCAGAAATACTGTAAATACGCCGGCAGTGCCCTTCAGTACGAGGATGTGTCCACGGCCGTCCAGAATCTGCAGAAGGCCCTCAAACTGCTGACCACGGGCAAAGAATAAGTCCTCTGTCTGCGCTCTTATCTGGCCACGTCCATCTCCAAGTCCCGCCCCCAAACACACCGACTCACGACCAGCAGACCCGGCCGCAACAATGACCCGAGTGTCCCGACGTGGAGTTTAGAAGTCACAGCGGCGACGGGATTGGTCCAGATTTGACATGTGGCCTTTCCCTGTTGTTGAGCAGCATATGAAGATGACGCTTTGTAAACCAAAAGTCTGCTAGCAGTGCGACTAAATTACATGGGTGTATTAATAATTGGTTGGTGGAAAAATTTTGAGTTTTTGACGATAAATCCTCGAAATGTTTTGTTTTTGACAATTTCGAATTACCTTAAATTGTCCTTTTGTGTTTGTCTATTGAGAGCAATTCACACAATGTATATGTTCTATACAAATGGCATTCAGGTGCATTGAAAAACAAAATCACACAAGATTCACGTATTTGTATCTTAAAAAGAAAGTTAAAGGCAAAATCACAAAATATTGCAGGAAATTATATGGAGAAAAAAGGTGATTACAATCTATGAAATTACCCCAATTAAAGCTGAGGTCCCTAACTTTGTCCCATCATAATTGCATCTTGTCCAATTAGTCCCAGAAAAAGTCTTGCAAGAGAAAGAGAAAAATCCCTGTGAGTCATGATTTGAGGCTTGAAGGTGATTGGCTGAGTGAGGGTGGTCCTCTCATTTCCACTTTTCTGTCTGAAAAAGCTGATAACAAGATGTAACAGAGGCCGAAAGTACATGCATGTGAAATGTAGGGATAGAAACAAACTGTTAGGTACCCCAGCTTTAAAATGGCAGTTGAAAATAAAAGTAAATATTAAACAACATTTCCCCTTTAAGCCAGAAAGACAGAAATTCATACCTTGTAGTTTCATTTCCATTGATTTATCTTCTACCTTTTTCATGTATAATTTTAAACGTGTGTACAGATCATATGTGGCGTCATGTCAGAGGTCGGAGAACACTACTGTTGTGTTTTAAGGCGGACTGCTGGGGATGATGGCATGGGACATATCACTGTGTCTTTCCGCCTTTAAAGATGCTCATATTTTAGCATTTTCCGCACTGATGTAAAGACTCAATCTGTTCTAAACGTTCATCTATTTGAATAAAACTTTATCCTGGTCTTTGTTGTTGATCATTCCCCACTTTTGAACGAGAATTGTAAGTTCAAGATCAGAATCAGAATCCTTTTTATTGCCACGTAAGTAACAGGAAGTCACAGACTTGGAAATTTCTTTGGCTCAGTGCAACAGTCAGAAAGAGAGGTAAGGGTAGAGAAGGCATAATAAAAAATAAAAAGCACTTCTAAGGAATACATTTAAAATAGAGTTACAATTACTATGTACAGTATACAAGTGGACATTGTGCACACAATGTAAGGTGACAGCAGTACAGTGAAGTAAAGTGACATAATAAAAAGCAGTGAGGGGACTTCTAGAGGGCGGGGACAAGTGTTCAAGAGTCCAACAGCAGAGGGGAAGAAACTGTTCTTGTGGCGGGAGGTTCTAGTCCTGATGGACCGCAGCCTCCTGCCTGAGGGGAGTGGTTGGAATAGTCCATGTGCAGGGTGAGAGGGGTCGGCTGTGATACGACCAGCCCGGCCTCGAGCTCGGGCGACGTACAGGTCCTGCAGCGATGGAAGGCTGCGGCCGATCACTTCCTCTGCAGAGCGCACAATGCGCTGTAGTCTCTGTTTGTCCCTGACTGTGGCTCCAGCGAACCACACGGAGATGGAGGAGGTGATGGAGGAGGTGAGGATGGACTCGATGATGGCCGTGTAGAACTGCACCAACATCTGTGCAGGCAGCTTGGCTTTCCTGAGCTGCCGCAGGAAGTACATCCTCTGCTGGGCCTTCTTGATGAGGGAGCTGATGGTCGGCTCCCACTTGAGGTCCTGGGTGATGGTGGTGCCCAGGAAACGGAAGGACTCCACAGAGGTGATGGGGGAGTCCATCACGGAGGGTGGGGGCGGGGAGACTGTGTTCTTCCTGAAGTCCACAATCATCTCCAGGTTTTTGACTGCTCGACCACTATAACACAATCCCAATGATGGTACTTAGCATCAGAGAGTTGAATTAACAGTTTTAGTTTAATTATAAGATTTCTGTCAAATGAATAATAATGCAATATAACATGTCAGTCTACATGCAGATGTTTTTTTTTTTGTGGTTTTTCAGGCTTTTTTTAAGACGACCATGACATCAATAAAAGGTCAGTTGTGAGTCTGGTCCAAAGAACAAGAGAAACCAAATCTGATGAAGAAAAGTGAACAAAAACATTTTGGACATCCTTTTGTTTTATTCGATTTTAAACAGGAGCTAGTTTTGGCTGCTTTATATTGTGATACATGTTTTAATTCATCACCTCCTTTTGCCCTGGTACACTGCTTAAACTGGTATTTTGTACTTGTGGTAAAGGTGCTCCCACACACAAGTTCAGCAGTGACTTAACTCTGATTAATCGATGGTGACAATGTTTTCTGTGTAATATTGTTAGCTTTTTTTCTTTACATACAAGTCCATTTCAATTTGCAGGAAAGCTCTGAGCAGGCAGCTGGATATATCCCACTGTGATAATGTTGATTATTGTCTCACAGCTTGTTAAAAAAACACATCTTAGAAAATTTGAATATTGTGAGAATGCAGTGTAAGCCAGCATCATGGAAATTATGTCAGGTAATGAGTATATCCTGTAATCCTATTTTGGTTCCACACATTAAGTAGAATTAGATTAACAAATGAACTTTTGAACAACATTCTAATATTCTGAGTTGAATGAAACCTGGGATTAGTTAAGGACTAATCTCACACAGAACAGTTTTCAGATGAATGAATTTGCAACCTTTAAATTTTGTGCCTGTTTATTATTTATAGAACAGGGACAATGTACAAAACCATTAGTCTTCACAAGAGAATAATGGTTTTTTAGATTTAGCTGCAGCTACTTTCCATCCGTAGTCCCTGGGCAGGTGAAAAAATAAATATACACATCATAAATTTAAAAATGTATATGTTATGTTAGCATTATTACTCTTTTTTGTTATTATTAAAATGTTGCTATATTTTGTAAATGTAGCTAAGTTGCTTGTGATGGATTTGCACTAATTATATGCACTTACTTTCTCCAAATAAAAAAAACATAAAAAAATATAAAAACTCACGTCACAAAACAATTACAACCATAAATACATACATATGATGATACCTATCTTAATTAGTTTTTTTTCTAAAATGGAATAGGCTACAACACGTTTATATTATTGTAGCTTTCCCTATAACAACCTTACAGGGAGACCATTTTGTTTCTCTTCGCTTAGATTAGCTACATAGTGCTACATATTTCCTCACACTCGATTATCCCTCTCAAACACGCTCCGGTTTGTTTACATCTGTTCTGTATCCGTACGTTCCGTTGATTCCAGAAGGTTCTCAACACGGAGGTATAGGCAGCTGGCTACAGGGGCTTATCCATGGGCTTATCCAACTGAGAGTGATGCTGTGATTAGCATAAACCACGCACAAATCATGAAATAATTATTCTTTATTTTCCTCTTAAAAAATACTGGCATACGAACTGTTGCGTACAATCTAAACTGTGATCTGGCTGCAGGAAAATTGTGAAATGTTTTTGGCTTGTCGCCCGGTTATTGGTCGCAGTTCCAGTTCAGAGCCTGTACCGTCTGTGGGAGAGATATATATTTAGCACGGAGCACATTGTCCAAATCATATCAGATTTATGGCTCAAAGGTTCAGTTAATTTACCCCTGTGGAAGTCTCCAGGAATCAGCCGTCAATCTTTGCGCTGCTCTGTCAGTTTAACCGGCGAAATATAGGAGCCATCCATTAATCGCAAAGAACATGTAGCTCAGGGGTCTCCAACCTTGAGGGCTACTTCTTCTTGCAGTCATGAGAAAACATGCTAAATATACCATAATCCTGTCCAACCCATATTCATGCTTATAATAGATATGTAATGAATCAAAAGTTAAGATGATGTGTTAAATTCTAAATCCTTTGGGGAGCTACCTGAAAGGGGCTGGCGAGCTACAAGTGGGAGACCCCTGATGTAGCTTGTCGCAGTCGCTGCAGTCGCTGTTTTTGAGACATCCTAAAACATTTAACGACATATTTGTGTCTGTGTGACGGAGGTTAACCAGAAGTTGATGATGCAGTTCTAACGACACATTTCCAACAAGTCAAACAGAAAGATGCACCATATGTTAGGTTCATAAATACTGGGACGAAGCACAGAGACCGCATACTGGTTTGTAAAAATAGTACTGTTGTAGTTTGTGCGTTGTGAAACCCTTGTGTAGTCAAATTGACCCACCACAGTGATTAAAAAATACATTAATTTTGATGACTTTTCATATCTTGACCAGCCCTGGGTTATTCATACCCTTTAGACCCAAATTTAGGGTATTTTTCTTCTACTTTAATCATCTGTGGCAGGTCGTTTTGACCCGAGGATAGCACAAGGAAAGTTAGTGGCCATGACCCAAATCAGGCTTCTAACTATGAGCAATATAATACAAGACAAGACATGTTTATGTGTATAGAGCAGTTCATACAGAAGGCAACACACACACACAACCATAAATAATCACAGTAAATGTAAAAGAGCAAAGATAAAAATCCTTCAGTTGTGCACAGCTAAAGAGAACAGCTTTAACCGGGATTTGAACATTTGAACAGAGTAGAAGCCTGTCTCAGATTGTTGCATACTTCTGAAAAGCTCCCTCAGACTCCAAGTTGGTTCATATGGCACTAACATGTCACGGTGGCTGAGTGGATAGCACTCTCGCTTCTAAGCAAGAAGGTCCTGGGTTCGAATCCCGGACGGAACAGGGTCTTTCTGAGTGGAGTTTGCATGTTCTCCCCGTGCCAGAGCATACCTCCGGGTGCTCTGGTTTCCCCCACCACTAACAACATCAACATTTTTAAAATCCTCCAGCTCTGTTAGTCCTGACCAAGCCGAGATGGGTTCCTGGGCGCTGTTACTACGGCGACCATTGCTCTTGACTAAAGCCTTAGTGTCATCAGGATGGGTGAAATGCAGAGGATGAATTGCCCTACGAGAAATAATAAAGTGCACCTTCACCACCTTTACCTTGTGTACTTTATTGCAAGGCCATGGAGAGCACCTTTAAAGTCTATTCTCTGAGCCACGGGGCATCAGTGAAGACAGAATTACGCTTGAAGATCGTGACAGCCAATTTAAATATGGTTAGTCTGTAATCCAATTCAGGCTCAGTAATGGTTTGGCCAAAACTTGTACAATTCTTTTCACAAAGTACAACACATTCTGCAAAAGCAATATTGAATAATTGTTCAACCCTGAGACCATGTCTGTTTGGAAAGTTCCAAAGATGGCGCCTCGTACGGTCGACATGGCTCTTTGCTGCTCTCTTTTTCTTTTGTTTTTACTTTTTAACTGCGCATCTGGCTGTTCCTACACCCGTGAGGAACTTATGAACATCCGACCCACCGTTCCCATGGACCTATTGCCTGTTTTCTTGGCATCTGCGACTGATTTAGTCCATGTTCTAGCCAAAAAAGTGTGGGCCCGTAAAAGGGGAAAGCGCGGAGGCCTGCTTGTGCGTCTTATGAGGAGAGGAGCGCGCATGGCTCTCCCCGGCAATTTTCTCTCCAACGTACGCTCACTGGGCAATAAGATGGACGAACTCAGCCTGCTCATGAGAAGAAACAAGGACTTCGCCACATCCTGTGTCCTCTGCTTCACTGAGACCTGGCTAAATGAGCGGATCCCGGACTGCGCTCTGGAGCTGCAGGGCTTTGGGCTGTTCCGCGCGGATCGCCATTGTGCGCTCTCAGGGAAGAGCAGAGGCGGTGGGCTGTGTTTCTACGTCAATACAAACTGGTGTAACGATGTGACAGTGATCTCCAAGCACTGCTCTCCTGCTCTGGAATATCTTTTCATTCATTGTAAACCATTTTACTCCCCGCGCGAAATTGTTTCATTCATTCTTGCCTCTGTTTACATACCGCCATGCGCGGACGCGCGCGAGGCTCAGCACGCACTCGCAGAGCAAGTACTGTGTATGGAACGCTTATACCCGGACTCTCTGATTATTATCCTGGGGGATTTTAATAAGGGAAACTTGAGCCAGGAATTACCCAAATACAGACAGTTTATCAAATGCCCAACCAGAGAGGAGAACACTCTGGATCACTGTTACACCACCGCGCGGAGCTTTTCGCGCTGTTCCCAAGCCAGCCCTCGGCTTCTCAGATCACTCCATGATACATCTGGTTCCTGCTTACAGACAGAGACTAAAGCTCTCGAAACCTGCAGTGAGGAGCTCCAAAGTGTGGTCTGATGAAGCTGTGGAAGAGCTGCGCGCATGCATGGAATCTACAGACTGGGACCTTTTCAGAGCTGCCACAGATAGTTTGGATGAATATACGGACACTGTGACGTCATACATTCACTTCTGTGAGGATAGTATCATTCCAACAAGGACCAGGGTCATCTATAACAACGACAAACCCTGGTTCACTGCTAAACTCCGGCAGCTCAGGAAAGCAAAGGAGTCTGCTTTCAGGGAGGGGGACCGCAGCGGCTACAAAGCAGCTAAATATCAGTTCAGGAGAGAACTGAAAGCAGCCAAGTCCCGGCACAGAGAACGACTACAGGAGCAGTTTGGTAACAAAGATACTGCTTCTGTCTGGAGGGGCCTACGGGAGATCACCAACTACAAACCCAAAGCCCCCCCCTGTGCTGACGACCACAAGCTAGCTGACGATCTGAACTTATTTTTCAGTCGCTTTGATGCTGCCCCTGACACCTCTCCCTCCCCCACCCCCCACTACTCTAACGACCCACCCATCAGCCCTGCCCCCAGCCTAACAATAGCCGCTAAAGAGATTAAACAATCTCTTCCTGAGGCTGCACCCCCGCAAAGCTCCTGGCCCGGACCACGTGTCTCCGGCCACTCAGACACTGCGCCAGTGAGCTTAAGCCCCGTCCCAATTCTCCCCCTTGCCCTTAAGTGCGAGTGCAAGTGTGAGTGCAAGTGCGAGTGCAAGTGGAGGGTGCACTCAACTCTCCCTAAGTATTGGGACACCCTTGTATGCAAATGAGCGTCCACTACGTCACACGCAATGTCCGTTTTTCGGATTTCACCCCAGTCCAATAGGTGGCGGTAATACATATTTCTTCATAGGGTAGGTAAGACCGGAGAAGTACTGCTGTTGTTGTTACTTTTGAAAATGCCGGGTCCAGCGGAGCTTCTGCCTGTTTTGTGGGCTATGATGCTTTTTCTCCGTTCGCAAAGTACACGGAGAAGCAACAGACGTAGGATGAGACTTCGACGTATGGTTGCGCTTGCCCGGATGTTTCAGGTATGTTGTTTTCTTTCATAATGGCGCGGCTTTGCCCGACTGCATATATATACAGTCTATGGCTGCAACATTACTAACTATCGTACCAAAACTGTGTCTAAAACAAGACGACCTACAAACGATACAAAGATCAAAAGTTACATCCATATGTCCAAACGTCTAACCATGAAGTATTCATCGCTGTTTTAAGTATGTACTAAACACGTGTATCACAAACGCAAAAACAAAGCGGTGCAGCATTGGCTACACTGGTTCTACTTTCCTTTCGCTGAAATCTTGAGTCACAGTAGTATATTGAGAACTATTTATATTGCGGAAAATATTATATGAAGTACTGTAATGCCTTTGCATGTATAGTTTGTATTGTTAATGTCACATCACTGCTTTCATGAGGGGAATTTGTGCTCTTAGGCCATCACTCATGCTATATATTTTTTTGCTCTTTGTTTTTCAGAGTGACCGTCCAGCAACGTACTGTAAAGTCAATGTGGTTGTGCCTATTCTACGCTTGTGGTTGGACGTCGAATTGGACACAAAACCTGACTTCAGACTGTCCAGGCAGGCCATGCATTCGCTGCAACGTGTAATGAGGAGAGCGCAAGATCATGGTTGGGGCAATGAATATGAGGTCCTCATATATGTATACTGGCTTGCCCATGGACTATCCTACCGTGTTGTGTCCAGAGTGTTCAGTATTCCTAGGTCTACTGTCCACAGGGTTGTCCATAGGGTAGCACAGTTCATTTGGAACAATCTACACCGAGCAATCAGTTTTCCAAAGATGGCTGACATTGATGCAGTGAGTAACGGCTTTGCCGAGCTTGCTGGAACACCTCTACTAAACAAAGCTGTTGGAGCCATTGATCGTTGTCATGTTCGCATAAAGCCCCCATCACTCCATTGTCTGGACTATCTAAATTACAAGGGTTTCTACTCAATACAAATGCAAGCTATTTGTGATCACACAGGAAAATTCCTAGATATTTTTGTGGGCTATCCAGGTTCTGTGCATGACACGCGCATTCTGAAGAACAGCTCGTTTTACCTTGCAAGAAGGTACCCACCTACGGGGTACTTCATTCTGGGAGATGGTTGGTATCCTTGTTTGGAGGGACCAATCGCCCTTATTACTCCATACCGAGAGCCAGTGAACGGCCGGGCCCAAAGGAAATTCAACTACCATCTGTCAAGAGCCCGTTCTATTGTGGAGAGAGCATTTGGGATTATGAAGACTCGCTGGAGGTCAACCCTGTTCAGAGCCCTGGAGGTCAAGCCTACATTTGCACCACAGGTTATAGCATCGTGTGCCTTTCTGCACAATGTATGTCTAGACAACGGAGATGTCCTGGAACCTGATAGTGATGCAACAGACATCCTGGACCCGGAACTTCCTCTCCATGAAGCTGCTGAGGAATATGAAAGGGCAGGGACTGCAATAAGGGACAGGCTCGCTGTATTGTTCAATGAAGACCCTTAAATGTAAAGTAAATTCTTTCAATAAAATGATTTAACGAACAATGGATGACCTTTTCTTTATATCCTTTCCCAAGATCCTAACTTTAGTTTCAGTATTTCTTCCTAGAACAGTGAACATCAACACACACACAGTCACATTAACTGAGATTTATTTTTTGAAAAACACTCTAATAAAATGTCATATGTACAATATGAACAGACATGTTTGCCCAAACAGCCACACAGCAGCAGGCTACAGCTTTTCCACCATCCTCTCGAAGAGACTTAAAAAGCGCAAAGTCTTCTCCTCTGACTCCTCGTGTCTTCTCTGTTCCTTGTCCGACTCTGCTTGGAGAAAGTCCAAAATCCTCTGGCTATCTGTCCTCTTCCTTTTTCTGGGGGTAGTTGGTGAAGAGGGAGGATTGTTTGATGATGGAGCTGGAGAAGCAGACCGGGTCGATGGTGCAGAGGAGGCAGAGCCCAACTGAGTATCCTCACTGGGGGTCTCGTCAGGATTGACAATGGCCTGTTGGAGACAAATTATTGTCACGTCATGGCAAATAAAGTTATTTAACTGCACGGCTACAAGCACTGACATAGCAGTGTGTACACATCACAAAGTACACATGCCACTCGGTCTACAGCACGTGGAGAGTGCAGCGTCCCAAAATGTTCTGGACTCACTCCCAACTGAGATCATCACCTGCACTGAACTAAAAGTATTCACATGCAGTACAAAAACATGTCTATTGGAAAGGCAACTCTGTTTCCATGTGTGACGTGCCTGTGTGAATTCAGTGCAGAAATGTCTTTATAATAAGTGAATAATGGGGCTGGCCAGTGTTTTTTATTTAACTTGTGGTAAATGAAATAGAAATTTTGGTCTGATAATTCCTCCAATTACTTACATTTTACTGTTTGACAACAACCTGCTCAGGGACTAGTGGTTCAATGCATCTTTCCTTTGGGTTAATGTTTATTGTACACCGCCCCTATAAAAATATTCCCTTGTTTCTTACCATTAGCAAAGCTGTAGGGTCTTCAGCTGGCCTGAAAGACGCCACAACAACAGGGGGATCCACAGCAGGCCTTCCCCCCAAGACTGCGTGAAGCGCAGCGTAATACGGCCAGTTTGAAGCGGTCTTCTCCCCACTATCTGTGCCTGAGCCAGTCTTTGGGTCCCTTAGGTCCTACACACACACACAGCAAAGTGAGTTGAGGTTACAGGATTAACCAGACAGATATATTTGCAGATAATTACCTTGTAGCGCTTCTTCAGGTTCTCCCACTTCTTACTGACCTGCTTGTGGGTCACTTTCCCCTCCAGGCCCAGCTCTTTCACTGCTTGCCTGTGAACATACAGTGAGGTATAGGCATTTAGCTGTGTTCAATAGCATTATTATTAAGAATAGAAGTTTCACTTACTGCCACAGACTTTTTGTCTGAAATTTTGTTTTCAGAAAATTGGCTTCATTCGCAGCTCTGTAATTTATGAGAGCAAAGGTTTTCTCCGTGGTCCCTGGGGGAAAAACAGCGTTGGTCAATTGTTCAGTTCCACTACTACTGCAAGCTGTTTGCGCAGATTTGCAAACACACAACCAACGTTAATGGTGAAGACAAACGCTTACCTATGTTTATGAATTCAATGCACACCATGCCATGCACATGCACACGTACGAAACAGCGAGCCAACACCGGCATTCTACATTGTAGAACAAATTGCGTACCCACATAATTCTGACACGTTTCATAGCTTTTAGAGTGCATGTTTGTGTGAAATTGTACTTACATTTGTAGCTTTCGCTCCCGAGAGTCGGCGCCATGTTCATTTGGAAAAACTGGTTTGCCGAGTTCGCAATGCATCATGGGATCACCCTCGCTCGCAAGTGAGCTCCCGACCTCACTTGCGCTCAAGGGTGGTTTTTAGGGCAGTGAAGACCCTCGCCTCGTCTCCCCAAGTATTGGGACACCCTTGCACTCGCGCGGGCACGCGCAAACGCTAGGGCAAGTGTGCTTTTTAAGGGCAAGGGCGAGAATTGGGACGGGGCCTTACTCCTGTGTTCACGGACATTTTCAACACCTCTCTGCAGTCCTGCCATGTCCCGGCCTGCTTCAAATCCTCCATCATTGTCCCCGTCCCGAAGAAGCCCAGGATCACAGGACTCAATGACTACAGACCTGTAGCACTTACGTCTGTCGTCATGAAGTCATTTGAACGCCTGGTTCTCTCCCATCTCAAGTCCCTCACCTCCCCCCTCCTGGACCCCCTGCAGTTCGCCTACAGAGCCAACAGATCTGTAGACGACGCCATTAACCTGGCCCTCCACCACATCCTACAGCACCTGGACTCCCCGGGGACCTACGCCAGGGTCCTGTTCGTGGACTTCAGCTCTGCCTTCAACACAATCCTGCCATCCCTGCTTCAGGACAAGCTCTCCCAGCTCAACGTGCCCGATTCCACCTGCAGGTGGATCACTGACTTCCTGACGGACAGGAAGCAGCGAGTGCGTCTGGGGAAGAATGTCTCGGACTCTCGGATTATAAATACAGGAGCCCCACAGGGCTGTGTTCTTTCTCCCCTGCTCTTCTCCCTGTACACCAACCACTGCACCTCCAGCCACGACTCCGTGAAGCTGATCAAGTTCGCGGAACGACACCACCCTCATTGGACTCATCTCCAACAACGATGAGTCCGCCTACAGGAGGGAGGTGGACCGGCTGGTGTCCTGGTGCAGTGGTAACAACCTGGAGCTGAACGCCCAGAAGACAGTGGAGATGATTGTGGACTTCAGGAAGAGCACTGTCCCCCCGCCCCCACCCTCCGTGATGGACTCCCCCATCACCTCTGTGGAGTCCTTCCGTTTCCTGGGCACCACCATCACCCAGGACCTCAAGTGGGAGCCGACCATCAGCTCCCTCATCAAGAAGGCCCAGCAGAGGATGTACTTCCTGCGGCAGCTCAGGAAAGCCAAGCTGCCTGCACAGATGTTGGTGCAGTTCTACACGGCCATCATCGAGTCCATCCTCACCTCCTCCATCACCGTGTGGTTTGCTGGAGCCACAGTCAGGGACAAACAGAGACTACAGCGCATTGTGCGCTCTGCAGAGGAAGTGATCGGCCGCAGCCTTCCATCGCTGCAGGACCTGTACGTCGCCCGAGCTCGAGGCCGGGCTGGTCGTATCACAGCCGACCCCTCTCACCCTGCACATGGACTATTCCAACCACTCCCCTCAGGCAGGAGGCTGCGGTCCATCAGGACTAGAACCTCCCGCCACAAGAACAGTTTCTTCCCCTCTGCTGTTGGACTCTTGAACACTTCTTAACCTGTCCCCCCGCCCTTTATAAAGTCACTTTACTGCCCATCATACGTCACTTTACTTCACTGTACTGCTGTCACCTTACATTGTGTGCACCATGTGCACTTGTATATTGTAAATAGTAACTGTAACTCTATTTTAAATTTAAATTTATTCTTTAGAAGTGTTTTTTATTCTTATTTTTATTATCTCTTTTTGACTGTTGCACTGAGCCAAAGCAATTTCCTAGTCTGTGACCTCCTGTTACTTACGTGGCAATAAAAATGATTCTGATTCTGATGTCCTTCTGAAAAATCCCAGCTCTGGAGTAAATATACTGTAGTGGAATGGCCCTGATGCACATGACGTCTTTTTCTGCTCGGCGATGGAATAAAACATGCAGGATGTGAAAGCGCTTCATAAGAGACATCTTCTTCGCAGAGCCTGATGTAAAAGGCTGATCATTTCATTTGTTCAAATTAATGTAAGCTGCTTGGGCGTGGGAAGTCCGTTCAGTGTCATTATTTCCATTTCTCTATATTTCTCTTCTCTTCCTTTTGCAGCGTTCACCTGGAGATAAGCATCAGACTGAATAAAGCGAAAGCCGCTGGAGGTGAACCAATCCAACACACCTCATTAGACTTTAATCAGATCACATCCTTCTGTCTTGAAAGGACCACTTTACATTTGTCTCTTTAAATGAGAACAGAGACATGTTTTCTACTATATTTCTATGTGGTTTTTTTAAGCAGTTTTTTACATTCATGTTCAATTTTCTTCCAAACAGAAACGGCTCTACTTTTTAAACCACTCTTTAACTCTGTATTACTAACTTTGTGCTCGTTGCTCTAAATTACATAAAAATCATTTCTTAGATACATTTAAATAGATAATAGTATGAACTATTTGTGTAATAGTACATGGTAATCTGAATGATTTTTACATTTTGAAATTCAAAGTGAATTTACCTGAACTAGCATGTCTCATTGAGCCGCCTATAAAAGTGTGTAAAGATTCATACATATCATTGTTGTCCATTTGAAGTCAGACTGACATTGAAAAATAAATGTGGACAAAAACTAGATCAAATTATAGGTTATATTCAAGCAACTATTATGAATACATTTTTTTTGATGAATGTTTGCTTAAAACACAGTGCACGGACTTATTTCATCTGCTGATATTGTTGCCCATTGCTGTTCCATTTAAAGCTGGGGTACCTAACTTTCAAACCACAAACATATTTAAGTATGTTTGCAAAATCGACTTATCTTAGGGGTCGGCAAAGAGCCATATTTGACACACAAAAAAACTAAAATGGAGCCACAAAAAAATAGCAGCCTTGTATAAGGCTTATATGAAGGCAACACAGGCTGTAAATGTATTAGCTATATTAGCCTAATATCAAAATGACTAAGCAAAGGCTACAGATACGTATCATGCATTCATGATTATCAAATGTGTATTTTCATTGCAGCGCATTCCCTCAGAGAATGACACACCACGTGACTACTCTGCTTTAAGTTTAACTTCCATTTTGTTGCGTTCAAATTTTTCTAACATTTTCAAAGAGGCTCCAGGAGCCACTCGAGGTGCCAACCCCTGATTTCACTGATTTCAACTCTCAAACAGAAACCTCTCCTTTAACTAGTTTTTCCCATGTGCGTGTTGGCCTCTGTCACAAGTGAAAAAGAGAGGATCACACAGCTCACTCAGCCAATCAGCTATCTGCCCAAACCGTCAAATAATGACTGACAGGGCTCCCTATGACAAGTATGCAAATTATAAACATGTTTTCTAATCAATTGAAACCTGCATGTTGTGGCGTGACATGTTCACAACATTTAACATTTACAAGATCTACATATTTGTGTTGGGACAAACAAAACACATTATGTATGAACAATACAATACAATACAATTTATTTAATTTTATTTACAGCTTTAAATCACTACAGCAGTAGGACAGAGTTGTCAATTCACCAACAACAGGTTAGAGGAAATGCAATACTAACAAACACGTAGGAGCCATTGGTCCAAGCGGACAGATGACCAATGTCCATCATTTTTAATAAATGTCCATAAATGTCCTTAGAGCCTCTTGCATCGACACAGAACAACAACAACAAAAACAGTGGTATGAAGTGACCAGTTTTATATTTGATTTATTCCTTTCCCCTGTCTTTTTTTCAATCATTTACATCCTGTCTGTTCTGTTGATCTCCTGCCCCGTTCTAATGTGTTTCCTCTGTATTTAACTGGATATGTAGCCACCACCTGCAGGAGGATCAGTGAGGGGCTGGTGCTCTGTGAGTTGGGTGCAGCTCTGACCACCTCCCCCACCCTAGAAATTGATCAAGGGCAAAAAATGGTATTTAAACCCTGTGCTCCTCTCCTCAAGATTGTTGGTCCATTGTGCCTTTGTTCCTGTTCCGTCGTGGTTTGAGTTTGGACTTGGCTGGGTTGGATTTTGCGTCTTTGTTGATTTTTATTTATTAAATCTTGTATTTTTGGCAGACCTGCATTTGAGTTCTTTTTTTCTTTTTTATTTTTTATTTCAGACACTCACCAGACATGTACACACAGGACACACAACACAACATAACGCAACGCAATGACAAATCCCATGCATTTGAGTTCTTTCTTTGTTCTGTGTTTGTGACAAAATCCTTGGGAAGGCCCACATTGACGGATGGACCTGCTCTCACCGACAGGCTGCAAGACTCTTATACTCTTTTCTATAAACAACTTGTACCAAGACATAATAAAAATTGAAAAAAAATCTGTTCTGTCGTCCAATAATCACTTACCCAAAACCATAGTTTGTAATTGTTTTATTGTGAAACCGAAGCGGAAGTTCTGGTTCGATGTAACTCTACACGGCCCATCCCGATGCCAGGCTTCTATGGCCCCGGTCCCTGTGCGCGCTCCCGCTCCCGCTCCCGCTCCCTCCACACGTGCACGCGCCTCTCTCTCCTCCTGTGCGCTTTACTTCTTCACTTCTTCAAGGACAGTCTCCAAACTTGGCTTTTTTTTGACGCGCGTGTGTCCAGAGCGCGCTGTGGACTTTTGGATAAAGTTGCTTTGTTTTTTGTTTTTTCTTTCTCGCTTCTTCGGTGTATGGTGAACTTTTTTGCCTGGGCTCTTGTGCGCGTCGGGGCGATGTTTTTAACAGGAGACCAGCTGCCGCTCCAGTAAAACATGTAAGTCACTTTTATTTACATTAAACACAGACGAGCAACTCCAGTGCGTAATGTCCATGAGGGCGCTTTGGCACGTTCGTAAAGTTTGTGCGTGGTGTCGGTGTGGAAAAGAATCTTCTGACATGTGTTTGTGGGATGTGATTTGTGGACCAGTGTAGCTTGGTCCAGATGTGTCCAAAAAAAAAATCTAACTGATAAACTTACAGCAAAACACTATAGTCTAAAGCCTTTGGAAAAGATGGGACATGGAAGTGGAAATTTGGCTTGAGATTGTAAAGTAAAGAAGAACTTTTTTTCACTTGACAGATCCATAATTATTAGTTCATAGTTTTGATCAGAAGTACATTAGCAAATTTAATCTCAGTGTTTATTGCCATATAGTATTTAAGAAGTATTATTTAGTATTTAATGTATGTATTCAAACCATTTGTCTTAGCATTAAGTATTTAAGAAGTATTATTTAGTATTTAATGTATGTATTCAAACCATTTGTCTTTGCAGTAAGATATTATGTGTATTTAATTGATCTTGTATATTTGTTCAAACCATTTAAGATGTTTAAACGGAAAGAAAAAGGAATATTTTGATGTGCTGTGACCTTGTTTCATAGTCATTACTGTAGTTTTGCACGGGGCAGGACTTTTGGACTATTGGACTATGGAAATAGGAATCGTAGCTCAGTTGTGGTGTTTCGTCGCCTTTAACAATCTCGATCTTGCTTCAGTTCAACCATAATGCTGGTTTTGTGCAAACTCATTAAGTTTTCTTTCACTTCTCGTTTTGCTCCAACATAACCATGCCTCAACAACTGCTTATTATGTGTCTCATAATTCATGTCAGGATCAATGTATTTATTTGACTTTGCTTCCAGTTGTTTGAAAAGAAAATCAGAAGAAGCATTTGTCCATGTACAGTAAGATACAGTAATATACAGTGAGTTCATTATTGTTTGAAATGGCTGTCCACTAAATTAATAATAATGATAATGATAATAATAATAATAATACAGTGTTTTTCTTTACAAATGAACTCAATTACGCTTTACAAAAAAAGACACTCATTCCTGAAATTAAAAAAAAAGACAAAAACATGAAGAACAATAATGATTTTTGATTTTTATGTGTTTGGTGAGCGTGTAGTCATTGATTAATAGTTTTTTAACCTGGCATAGACTTAAACATGGTCAGAAGATGTTTTATGACTCTATAACAAATGAAAAAAACTTGTTTACATTTTTGTTTTTTTTTATCAAACCACTAAATGTGCAGCAAGTCATCTCTTTGAAGTTGTTCTCCAGAGATATCACCTGAGCTTTGATTTGATCCATTGTATTAAAAAAAAAAACATTTTCTCTGACATTTCAGGATCTAAACAACAGATTGATTGAAAGAATAAATGACAAACTCAATAAAAATAACTGTTAATTACAGCCCTGAGATATATTTTTATTACAACTCTGTATTGTCATAATTCACCCATGGCCTCTGTGAGAACTCAGTCAAAAAACCGTCAACTTTTCAGTATTCCGTCTCTGATCATTACTTTTATCACCTCTCTTGGTTTTATATTTTCATCTAAAACATCAAATTCTCCCAAAGCACTCTTCACGTTTTTGCCACAGTCGTTGTAGTGTAAATGATACATAATGATCTTCAATATCTTTCCTCTCGCCTCTCTTTCTAAACTCAAACATGGAAAGAGAGTCCTTTGTTAACGCTCTCGAACATAATCAGCTCTAATTTCCCATGTTCCACCTCTGGCTCCACTTCCACAGTTTGAGAGTAGATGGATTTGTGGGATATCCCTGTTTTTTTTCCGATCCGT